AAAAGCCACACGCACACGCAAAGAGTGCAAAATAATATTTGCTCTCCCGCCCATTTGGCTGCTCACCTAATTTGGCACTCGAATCTAGGGAACGCCTAATTTTTCTTCCTTTTTGCAAGGTACGAGAGCGAGAGAGAGCGAGAGAGAGAGAGAGAGAGAGAGCGAGAGAGTGAGAGATAGGAAGTGGGAGAGAGGTACAGGAACAAAAAAGGAGCATCAAATTGAACTTATAAAATTTTTGAATTTTTGGCACAATTCAAAACTTTTAAAATATCGTTTAAAATCGGAGCTGCCCCACGTTATTTCTGAATTTCAAAAGAAAAGATTCTAGAGGCCATAAAATTGGCCGAGTTCCAAAAAAAGCATTGCAGTCCATGTCCGGGTGGCCGAGTCCGCAAAACAACAACAACGGAACGGAACGGAACGCTCTGCGCACTGGTCAGAGCCGACCAAAAACCGCTTTCCCAGAATATTTTGCATCCGGGGGTGCGGCGAAAACGATTACCTATCATTATCTCGAAAATCAACATCTCGAAAATCAATATCTCGAAAACAAACATCTCGAAAGTTCATTATCTCGAAAGTTCATTATCTCGAAATTTCGTTATCTCGAAAGTTAATTATCTCGAAAGTTCGTTATCTCGAAAGTTAATTATCTCGTATTATTATCTTTCTACTCGAAAACGAGATAATTAACTTTCGAGATAATGAACTTTCGAGATGTTTATTTTCGAGATATTGATTTTCGAGATGTTGATTTTCGAGATAATGATCAATCCCCGGCGAAAACACAATGGTCATGGCTATGCTACTAGTCGGCCAGTGAGGAAAATTCAGTGAAAATCCTCACGGGATTACGGTAGCCAGGGTGCATTTTAGTAGGGTATGCTCCGAACGGCTCGAAAAGCTCGAAGCTGCAAACAGCCTGGGCTATTTGAGGAACTCCAGTTAGGTACACGCAGCTTACGGAGCTTGAGGAACAAAACGACCTGAACGAGATTGACTGTTCGGATAGCTTGAGTAGCGTGAGAATCTTGAGCTGCTCGAAAAACCTGAGTAGCTTCAGGAGCTCGGGCTCTTGGAATAACCACAGGAATGAAAAAGAACGAATCGCATGAGCAAGGCCCAGCATCTTGAACCAGCTCGAACAAATGCCCTCAAGCACTTCTAATAACCTCATTTATGAGTGTGACTTGCGCAGCTCAAGCGACTTGCAAAAGTGCTTCGGGCATCAGCTTTCAACGCTTGAACAGCTTGAACGGCTCGAGATGCCCGAACTGCTTGAACAGGTCGAGCAGCTTGAACGGTTTCGAGTAGCCCGAACTGTTTGAACAGGTCGAGCAGTTAGGACGAGGCGAACGGCTTGAACACCTTGAACAGCTGAACGACTCGAGTAGCCCGGACTGCTTGGAAGAGCTGGAATCCGCGTGGATAGCTTATGAAGGTTAAACATTGCAAACAAGCTGAACGACTCGAGTAGCCTGAACAGCTTGGACAACTCGAGGTTCGCAAAGTCGGAGAAGTCAGTCAAAAAGCTGCTCAGAACAGATCAGGCCTGGAAAAATTCCGGGCGGAACCTAGTGACAGGAAGTTCACGGGGGTCGTCGGACAAGGTTGTTTTGTGTGAAGAGCAGGAGCAGCAGCCGGAGGGGGTCCTGGGAAGGGGGCAGTTCCGGAACTGTACGCCATTCCCACCATAGTGACAGGGAAATAGAGACAGAGAGAGAGAGCGGAGAGAGAGAGAAAGAGATAGAAAGAGAGAATGAGAAAGAAAGAGAGAGATGAAGCGCACTCACTCACAATGCTGCTCCTTGTTTTCGACATGGTACGTCCGGAGGGGGTCACGCCTGACCCCCAGCCACTGGAGGGCGCACTTGTTTTGCACAGTAACCCCTGTCCTTCTGGGTGCTTTTCGTGGCGGGACCCCTGTGTGTGACCGCCCACCAGGAAAAGCTCCCAAAATTGACCCCGACTGTTTTGTCATAAAAGTTGGGAGGCGGAAACTGGTTTTACACCCACCCTCGACCCGGCCGGTCAAACACGGCTTTTTGACACTTAGCGCTCGGGAAAAACAATTTTTTGCTTGCCTACAAATTTTTGAAAAGGAATTTTCGAAAATGGCGCTTCCAAGAGCATTTTTTTGCTTTCAGGCAATCCCCCCAGAACTTTCAAGGATCTTAAAGGAGTGGGCAAGTCAGGCGAATCGGAGGGCTGGCAAGTCGTCAAAAACCGTCGAAAAATCTTGAAAACCTCCCGTTACGGTTGTCTTAAAGGTGGGGTGACAGGGGGAGCTGGAATTACCTTGACAACAAGAATCTGGCGTCACGCTCCCTTCAACGGCTTCAAAGGAACATTAATGCGCCAATTTTGAATAGCTTTTTGAGGTTATGGATTGAGGCTTATGCTTATGCTCAGGCTCATGCTTGCGGTGGCTTGAGCCCAATTTTCGGTCAAACCTAGCCTCTCACCTTTCGGCTTTCCCCAAAACCCACCTCAGTTAGCTTTTCGGTCCATTATCACCCCCCAAAAAAGAAACAAGAAGCATTCCGTGAAGCGACAAATGACAAGGGATTGAAAGTGATATCCACGGCCGGGGAAAACGGGTCCCACAACGAACACAGCACATAGCTGCTGACCCCTGACCGGTCTGTGGGGGTGAAAGTGGGAGAGAGATAGAGGGAGAGAGAGAGAGAGACAGACAGAGAGAGAAAGCTACCGTATCCGCTGGTGGCAGACCGGTCCGACACGAGGTCAAAACAACGCAAAAACAGCACCCTGCCCCCGACCTAGCCGCCGGACACGAAAACCGGATGGGGGGATGGGGTGGACATGGTCAAGCGAAAGCCCGTATTTTATGAGGGGGAAATGATAGGCGTCAGCACCTTGGGGGATCATGTAGTAGCATGAAGCAAGATTCGAACTAAAGAGAACTAAAGAGAGAGAGAGGGAAAGAGAGAAAGAGAGAGATAGAGAGAGTGAGGGTGAGAGAGACACAGAAAGAGAGTGAGAGAGACATTTTTTTATTTTTAAGGCCTGGCAACACCGGATAAATTCTAACAGCATCAAAAAGCGTGAGCAGCATCAAGCCTGTACAAAGAGCATTAATGCCGATTTCGACACCTTTGAATTTCAATGAGCATCAACGGATTTCATGAATTCCGGCCAGATGAGTCAACTTTGGGAGGTCGAGCTTTCGTAATCGAGCGCGCAAGAGGTTATTGGGAGAGAAAGCGAGAGAGGGGAACGGAGAGATACAGAGGAGCATGAATATCTTTCCCAGTAAACTACAAAACCTGACGAAAATCCAAGACGACCCAAATCTTGTCGAGATCAAAAATTCCAGCCGTCCACCCTTGAAAACGGTCCCCCCCAACAAAAAAGGGCAAAAATGGGCGTGGGCTGCATTTTTTGCAGAGAGTCCAAAAAGAGCCTCAAAAAAGGCAGTGGGGCCGAGGGTGGGGGCCCAAGGCAGAGGGCCCAGACGACACAGCCTGTCCGAAGCCCCAAGCAAAACATGGCAAACGGGCAGCGGGGGAAGGCCTTTTTTGGAAGCACAAAAAGAGGGAAAAGCAGAAAAAGTGGAAGGAGGGAGGCCGGGGGGACACGGACTGGCACCAAGGCATTCGAAGGGCCCGGGTGGGGCCTCTAGGGCCATCCTGGATTTGTTGGATCCCGGGGAAGTTGAGGGAATTTGGGAGGGAAGAAGCGGTAGGAATGATATCGCCTAAGGGTTATGGTGGGAGAGAGGGAGAAAGAGCGAGAGAGAGAAAGAGAGAGAGACAGAGGCAGAGAGAGGGAGAAACAGCGAGAGAGAGAGAGAGAGAGAGATAAACTCCAAACTCTTGAAACTCCGAAGATTTTGGTCCTGAAAACCCGTGCTAGGCATAGTCGTAAGCTTAGGATATATCATTTTTCATCACATTTTTGTCTAGATTTTGCGTGAGCCATATTGTAAAGCCCTCGGGGTCTGCGAGCCCTTTTTCCGATTTTTTTCAAGTTTCCAACCCCTTTTTCAAGACTACAAAAATTTCTAGGGTTCTCCTCGGCATTATTTCTCGGAAATTTCTCACGTTCCATTTAGAATTAGGAAAAAGGCGGGCCAGCCGGTGCCAGCCTTTTTTTGGGTGGCCCTGCACTTTCCGAGCAAGGCCCGGGGATGATCCGAGATTTGCTGGCGGGAGAATGGGGGTGTAAAGCTGCGTTTTATATTCTGGACTGTCTACCGTATAAAATGGAATCGGAATGGAATTGAAAAGCCGGAATAAAAGCACTCGTGGATTTGTATGCCTCTTTGCGAACGGAAAAAGAATCATAAATGTTTTATCTAGTTTCTTCTTAGTTTTTTCGTATTGTTTCTCTGAATTCTTTATCGCGTATTTTTTTTCTTCGTCGTATTTATTTATCGTGCAAAATACCCTTATATTTGTTCTATCCTAAATTTTTGAGGTATCACCGGCAGCAGCAGCAGATTCCGGGTTTTTACAGCCGAGACACCGTCTCATTTTTCCCAAAAATAAGCTGTCTTTTTGTCGGGATTTTTTTTGTAATGAGTCGGAAGGGTCGGGTACCGGGCGGTACTTGCCTCGGCTTATCCCCCCAGGGGGAGCGCTGTGAATTACAGTACCCGGATTATCGAGTCCGAAAATCGCATCGTTTAGCGTTTAGTCACGGAGTGTATGCGGGGAAAAAAACTTTTTTAAAAATACGTTAATACCCGGCAAGAGACTAAACTGTACAAACTTGTAAAAAAATTGTTAACATTCCATAACTACCTGTAAAAACGTAGAAAATTTGCCAGGGCATGAAGCATCCTGCAAAAATAAACCCAAGAACCTCTGCTAGCTGATTTGTATTTGTTGAGATCGTTTATGAATTCTCTACATTGTGTATATGTACATCAAAAATCGGTTACGACATCAACGGGGGAAAATACAAAGTACAAAGGACATAAAGTCAATACAAAAATATCCGTGTCTTCAAAGCTCTTCTCGCCGGCGTCATCGAGTCGTATTCTTGGCGCGGAAGGCGAAGAAGTCGTCGATGAGGGCCCGCGTACGTTCCAGCACCACAGCCTGCAAATGGAGTTAAAATTTGGTCAGGGTTTCTCTCTCTAGGGTGTATTTTTTTATTACTTTGCTTTACCGCGATTTTTCCTATTCTCTGTTACCTGCCGCTCCTGTCGATTCTCCTCGCCGAGCAGCCCGTTCCCCTCATCCGCGCACGCGTTCAACGACGGCAGCATGATGAGGAGCCCCTGAAAGTGAGTCTAGGTCTTCTAGCTCGGTGCCCCAGCCTCAAAATCGCCTAGGTTAGAAAAATTGAGACTCGAAAGCGACTTCAGGCACATCGAAATTTAGCCCGATCACCGATTTCGGGTCGAAACTGCCGCCTTTTCGCTTGCGTAATCGATTATGGAGCTTTTTAGGCGCCGAGCGGCGTCAAAGTTCACAAACAATTAGACTTTAAGACGATTTAGCTTAGAAATGTGCCTCAATAAACTTAGCGGCAAACTCTCGCTTCAATTTTCTAGCCTAAAAACCCTCAAAAAAATTTCAATTTTCAAGTTTTTTAAACTTCCTAACCTGGCCAAACATCTTCTCATACGCGGCGACGATCTGTTGATGCGTGTATGGGAGCGCGAAATGTCCTTTGCGCCTCATCTCCAGCGACAGACAGGAAAGATAGTGCGAGACGAAACGGTGCAACCCGCCACGACGCAACTAAAAAACGTTTCCTAGAAATTAATAAAAACAGGAGGGATGTATTTAACCATGAACTATAATACTCTACAACAGCTAGTGACCATATTAAAATGGTTAAATCGAAATTTCCATACCCGTGGGGAGCACGAGGAGCCGAGTAGACGTACAAAGTCCTCGGCCACGTTACCCGCGTGCACATTCTAAAAGTTTCTTTGAATCTTTGAAAACTGAGAATTCTTTGAAAAGAATTGAAACGTTTGAAAGATCCTTTGAAAAGTAAAAAAACGCCTTTTTACAATTATTACAATTATTACAAAGTTTTTCTGACTTTTAAGCCGAAAAACGGTCGATTTCCAGATGATCTTTCGTTGTCAAAGTCAAAAACGTTGTCATTTCGACAAAATCTATATCTTTTTTCATATAACAAACTCCCCCACCTGCCAATCAATGATAGCCAACAGTTGATCGGTATCCCCTCGCTGCCCGTTCAACGCCCACAGCAAGTTGTTCGTCCACAGATCCCCGTGCACCAACACCGACGGCATCCCAGAGCCAAGGTGCACCGCGTCGCCATCAGAATTCGACAGCTAAACCTGATTTCAGCGTAAAACTCTAAAACTACCTGATCGTCAACGACGCCGGCGAGCTGGTCGAGCAGGTTTCCGCCGTGGCGGGTGGCGAACCACTTGCCGAAATCGCGGCGCAGCTGGCAGATGGCGCGCCCGATGCGCTCACGCGTGATGGTGGGATAGGCTTTTTGGACCTCGAGGAATGTTGATCTGGAAAAGGTATTATTAAATAGCGAACGTAGAATCCAAAAATTACATGGGGGATTTGGGTATTAGGGAAGACCTACTTTTTTTTCTTTATTATCCCCCTTTTTCCACTATAATAAAGAGCCAATTGTCAATAAATAATCAATAAATTGTTTTTAAATCCTTTTCACTATTCATAAACGCGAAAACTGACAAAGTTTTATTAAAAAATGCAAAAAGTTTCCATTTTTAGGACCAAAAATGGCCGATCTACGATCAAAATTGTGATTTTCGAAGCATTTTTAAATCTTGTTAGATAGTTTTTCACTTAAATTATATAGTTAAATGTCACTAATAACACGATGAAAAAGCGCCCAAATAGCACCTGAATATTTTCCCGGCCCCATGACGCCAGCTGTCGTTGGTCAGCGAGAAAGCGTGGAGCTTGGCGAGCTGTTCGAGCACCTGAACGGTACGTAACTCTTTGCACACTACGCTTCCAGGCTTTTAATTGGAGGAAGACCCCTTGGAAATAGACGCTAAAAACCAGAAAGGAAAGAAACTCAATTAAAGCGATTTCCTACCTTTCTTTGAGAGGCTACCCAATTTGCGCCTAGCCCGGGGCCAATTGTGGGGAGGCCAAAATGTGGCCAATCTTTGGGTCGTATAGAATGTGGCTCACGGCCTTGACTTGCGGCTCGCGTAGCCCGGCGTACAGCGGACGGACACCGGAACGGATGACGTCGCCGAGGAGGAGGTAGCCCGATTCTGAGCCGTTCCTGGAAACGGTTGTTTTTGTGTTATTTTAGACAATATCTTCTTGTTTTGTAACTTTGATGCTTTAATGTACATAGTATTTTTATCGGTAAGGGCAGGATTAAAATAACGGGTACTATATATTGCTATTACTCGGTAATTTCGCGAATGCCGTTTGATAAAGCGCCGAAAAAATTACGGAAAGCTGAAAAATGTAAATAATTTTTATTGCGCTACGAAACTTTTCGAAAACTGAGGTAAGCACGTAGCATGACGGTGAGGGAGACTTTTTCGGCGTTTCCGATATTTTGTATAGGTTCAAGATACTAAAAATTTACTAAAATCTGTTATCCTCGCAAGAATGTTTCCAGAAATCCCTCTAGAACATACATTTCCGTTCTAACTACTGTCCGGACTAAGCTCATACAATGGAGAAAAGAAGCTACAAACTAGAAGATCCGAAACCATACTCTAGACAAGTTGATCACCAGCAAAGAATCCCAAGTTTAGCTCCCAAAAATTGCAGTGCACGGGCGCTCCCATGCCCTTCAACTCCCACCCGGCACCACCCTCTCGGCGTTGCCTTGTGGTCGAGGGGTAGTGCTCGTGGCTCCCGGCCCGCATGTCCCGGGTTCGACCCCCGGCCGCGGTGGTGAGGACAAACTTTGCCCTAGACCGACCCATACTTGGGGAATGATTAGTCTTTCTGAGCCGCTTTTTGCTGTTTTTACCCGAATTGTGGATTTGGGGAGGTACCTAGCAAAGGAAAAAATTTATGGAGCTATTTAAGTTGAGTGGCCCCAAGGGCGTCAAAAAAATTTGTCGATCGAGGGTCCCCGATCGGCCTAGAAATCAATATTCTGGGGTAGTTTTCGGCGCTGAGTACGAATTTAATACTTTTAGACTACAAAAATTTAACTTTCGACTACAAACTACAAAAAATCAAAAATCGTCAAAACGCGCGGAAAACACATTTCCGGGGCCGTTTTTTGCGCTGAGTCCTATTCTTGTTAGGATTCGGGACCAAATTGCATATTTTTTAAATTTGTGACCCTTAAGAGGGCCGTTGGTATAGGGTTTTGGGAAGTTTGACCGGGTAGACTGGCTTATTCACACGGGTACATTGTGACAACGTGTGACCAAAAGTGGTAGAAAATGTGATGGCGATCGGCAAATTCTTGGCGCCACATGAATTCACTGAGACAATCACAGCATCTCTCATTCGTGGATGTGTTGAGGCCGTTTGATTTCTTGATCCTCTTTTTGAACTTGTTCCATTGGCTCTCAACAGATTGAGTATGAGAGCCAGTAACCGGATCAACAAAGTTCATCTGGTGATTGACCGTGAGATAATTGTAGCCTTTAAAAAATATGCAATTTGGTCCCGAATCCTAACAAGAATAGGATTCAGCGCAAAAAACGGCCCCGGAAATGTGTTTTCCGCGCGTTTTGACGATTTTTGATTTTTTGTAGTTTGTAGTCGAAAGTTAAATTTTTGTAGTCTAAAAGTATTAAATTCGTACTCTGCGCCGAAAACTACCCCAGAATATTGATTTCTAGGCCGATCGGGGACCCCCGATCGACAAATTTTTATTGACGCCCTTGGGGCCACTCAACTTAAATAGCTCCAAATTTATTTTAGTGGATACCTGCGAAAGTGTTGGGCCCGGATGCAGGATGGGATTTTCAGGGTGGCGTGAAGGCCTTCTTTTGCGGCTAGCTGGTAGAACGATACCTCGGAGATGTGGCCCTGCGTTGTAAAATGGTAAATAAAGAAGAACTTAATAATGTCATAATTAATTAGGCGAGTCTTACCACAGTCAAAATCATGGCAAGCCGCGCGTGCTGCTCGAGAACGGCGGTTTCCGGTCCCGCCTGGATGTTGCGAATCATGGCCGCGGTGGAGGGTATCTAAAAATTAGTACTTTATCGAGGCCCCTGAAATCTGATACCTTCAGCACCAAAGTGTCGGGCAACAGCTGCGCGTCCGGGCCGATCCAGTCGAAATGGATTCGGACCGTTATCGATAGGAAGCCCTGGTTAAAACGATTTTATTGGATGTATCAAAATTTTGAATACCTGATTTTCGCCAATTCTCTCAAAGAAGAAGCCCGGCCCAAAGCGGGCATGTGTCGATAGGGCGATCCGGATCCGCTTTTTCAGCTCACCCAGTTGGACGGTCGTCCCGAGGATCCGCTCGTCGAACATCTGCAATTTTGATTGTTCGGTGCTTTCGCATTATCGAGGGGAGCGGACCAATTTTTTCCCTGAAGGCCAGAAATGCCTAGTACCGTAATAGCGAGCGTTTTCAGTGTTTTTTTAGCAAAATTTAACTAGATTAGTTTTTCGAAAATCAGCCTCGTTTTTTTCGAAAAATCGCTATTTTTAGAGTTTTCTCATCAAAATTTGTAAAGACGCTCAGGAATACCACCCCCCGATAATGCCAGTACCGATTGGTATATTCAAATAATAAAAGGAACATTATAGTTTGTTAAGGAAAAAAAGGAAACCTTTTTACAAAGTCGATTTCCTGCGTATTTCAAGCTTCAGGTTGGCCTAGGCCAGTGCCCGGAAGGCGAAAGCGGCCGCCCGGCTTGCACAGAACACCTTGTCGCACCTCTTCTGAAATATATAGCAGCTCATTCTCGATGATGAATCGAAGAAAAAGGCGCGGGTGATGTTATCAAATGGAAAAGCGGAAACTGGGGCCCAGCTGGCGGCCGAAACGGCGGAAAAAATATATAGATTCCGGGGGCGCCGGGTTGTTTACCCCCCAAAAATTGGAGGCGCTTCCAAAATGAGTCGGAGGCCGATTTGCCGCCAGATGGTTCTCGAATTGGCGGGTAGTAATTGGAAAGAGAAATTGCAAAAAAGTAGATAAGCCGATCTTTTTTGTCCTTAAAAAATCGTGCTAAAATAGCCTTCGCCGGACGTTCCACCTATTCAGAACGGGGGGCTATTTGAAGACACTCCTTTTGAAATTCTGATGACAATAACACAAGAGGAACACACAGGTGAGCAAATCATCGCTAATGGCTCGTAAAGTGGTGTAAATATGTCCCGGACGGCTCGGCCTCCCCAGGTCCACCCCCACGGATTAGGCCCGCCATTCAGAAACCTCACCAGCGAAAAAGAAGCGAGCTTTTAAAGGGGCCTGAAAGGCACAAAACGAGAACAATGTCTTCCCGTCTACATTTCATAACCGGAAATAGCAACCATCAACGATCGATAATTCCACAGAAAAAGTTGGTCGATACTGGTGCCTATGGGTGTCTTGCTCCTCGGGTGCTTCTGCACCCCCTTGCTCCGCCTCGTTCCCTTCCGAGGAGCCGCTCCGAAAGAGGAGCCCCGCCCGTGTGACGGACAAAGCCCAATGCTCCTGAAAAAGGAGCGCGGCCCGCGTGAAGTGGCCCATGGCCAACCCTTTTTCGTGTCCCCCCTGCGCTTCTCTGCAGCTCCCGGAGAGAGCACGAGTTTCTCCTTCCCCTCCATACCCAGAGATCCATTCTGAAATCATTGTTGCGCTAAAGGTTACGAAATTTATTACCACTGCATATCAGCAGGCCCATAAAAATATGAGAGAGGGCAGCAACAAAATTAACGCTTCAACCAGAACCCATGAAATCAAAAAACGGAGGCGGACAAGAGATTGGTGGCTAATCACAATGCGGTGGCAAAAGCAGAATATGTGGATAACCATGGGGCAAGTTGTATATTATGAGGGGACAACAAATTCAGCGCATAGATCAGAATAGAGGGGACTTATTCAGCCTTGGCATCGAAGCGCTCGAACTGATCCTCGGCCTGCTCCCAGCTCAAACGCCCGCGCACCAGAGCTTCGACAGTCTCGCCGACCTCCTCGACCTAAATATACAGATCAGGGGTGAATTAATCGAAATTCTAAAGTCTACGTTTATGTAATATTTAACAAAATTTTGTATAGCTTTTAAGTCCAGGAATAGTAAACATGGGAAGAAAAACTTCCGCTGTGATCCTAGAAAAATTGGATCCTAGTGAAAAAGTTTGCCTTCTTCCTCCCCCGATATTGCGAAAGAACCATATTTTTTTAAAATCCGTCGGCGGAAAAACACACCTTTAGACGAATTTGCCTCAAGGACTCGGCGTGACGCAGGGTGACAGTCCAGGGAAGCTTCTCGCTCTCAAAGTCGACGGTCACACCGAACGGGATGCCGATCTCGTCGGTACGGGCGTAGCGCCGACCGATCGAACCAGCCGAGTCATCCTCAAAGAATTAAAGATTAGTTCGGAGAAAACTATGTATATTCATACCACGCGGAACGAGAGCTCATGGGCGCGCAAGTTGTCCTTGACGGCCTCGATTATCTCGACCAGCTGCGTCTGGGCGGATATCGGCAGAATCGAGCACTTGATGGGGGCGACGATCGGCGGAAGGGCCAAGAACTGAAAGCACGACGTTGAATATCGGCTGCATTTAATGTTCATATCCAAAAATAGGAAAACTCATACCTGACGCTGCTCATCACCTTCGCGCTGGCGGAATGCATGCTCCAGCACGGCATACATAATGCGCCCGATACCGTAGGACGGCTCGATGACCGAGGGCGTGAATTCTTCGATGCAGATCTGAAAAAGAGAAAATAAACAGAATTACGGAGTAAATAGGATTTGTCAAGTTTAAGAATCTTTTTATATAGCCCGGTTTACCCAAAAAATTGCTACCTTTTTCTCTTCACGCGAAAACGAGAGCATCTCCTTGGACAGCTCGAAAGATTCGCCATCAACGGTGATCGTCAGCTTGCCATTCGCTTCCCTAAAAATAACGAAAATGTTGCACACAAAAAAAATTACAATTCTTTGCTGTGTGCAACGGCCTGCTCGAACGACAGCTTCGAGAGATGTTCGTGAATCTAAAGAAGCAGTTCAGGAAAACAAGAAAAAGCGTACCTTTTGCGCATTTTTCCTATGTGTCTTGCCGATTATCGGCATGTTGGTCACGGCCTCGCATGTGTCGATAAATTTGGGCTCGGGCAAATCCTTTTGGGCCACCAGCTCCGTCTTTGCGCACTAAAAACCCAGATTATGCGAACGGAGGAGCTCTGACCAGGCTGTGCTGCTTCAGGTCGTAGCACGCACGATCGGCGTTACCCACACACTCGATCCAGCCGTAGCTGGTCTTGATTTCGGCATCCCAACAGTCCTAAAAGGCGCACAACGGTTGTTTGAAGGGCTCCTTTTACCTGAGCATAATGGGCCATCTCGTTATCCATGTGCTGGCGGAAACGGAGGCGTTTCGGGTCGACACCGACCTTCAGCAGATACATATGGCAGCGGGCCATATAGTAGCCAAGCGTTTCGTTATCGACAATTTTCTGAAAATTATTATATACCAAGACAAAAGCGTCAGAATACCTTATCGACGGCTTCACCAATCGGAATCTGGATCGGTGCCGAACCGTTCATTTGATCGTTGGCGGTGAAGAGGGTGAGCACATAGTTGCGAACCTGAAAAGCTCATAAATCAAAGGAAGCTGATACCTTGGCAAATTTGGCGCAAGATTTGTCGGTGGGGTCGACAAAGTGCTCGATCTCGCACATGGTGAACTCGCGGACCCGGATGAGACCCTGGCGTGGAGATATCTCATTGCGAAAGCCGTTGCCGATCTGGGCGGCAGCGAACGGGACACGGCCCTAGAAAAAATTACGAAAAACAGGTTGGAACTGCATACCATGTTGAACTCGAGCAGGCGCTTGAAGTTGACAAAGATACCCTGGGCGGTTTCCGGGCGGAGGAACGCACGCTGATCACCAGTTGGGCCTATCTGAAAAGAGCTTTTAGAAGTCGAAAAGACACTCTTACCTGGGTCGGGAACATCAAATTAAACGCGATAGGCTCGGTGAGATCATTGCCGGCGGGTGACTTCATATTGTACTTCACGAGGACGGCTTGCATATCGTTGTTGTCGAATCCGTCAAGGCGCGCCAAAATCTCGCGCAGCTCTTCCTTCACCGGTTCGGGCGTCTTCTTGCTCTAAATCAATATAAAAGGCAAAGACGGGAAGAACGTACTGCAATCATAGCTTCGGCGGCGTTCTTGATCAAATGATCGCAACGGTGCGGGTCGCCGGTTTTCAAATCCTTGACCATCCAGTCGGCGAATCGGTCAACGTGGCCAGACGCCCTGAAAAAAATTATTGTAAAAGACCGCGTGAACTTCAACATACTTCAAGACAACCTCCGGGGTAAGCGATGTGCAATCGACTTCGAGCATCCCTTCCTCCAGGATGAAGTGCTTGCGCCATTCATTTAGCATGTTCTGCTTCAGCGCACAGCCCATCGGACCGAAATCGTACCTAAAGAAATTTATACGTTTCAAAAGAACGCCTACAAGCCGGTGACACCACCGTAAATCTGGAATGACTGGTCGTAGAAGAAACGTTGCTTCAGCAGGGTCTCCAACTTTCCGCGGTCAATCTCCTTCGGGGCCAGCCGAATTTCCTAAAAATACGGGTTTGGTTCCCTCAAAGTTGCTCATCTTTAAAAAAAAAACAATAACATACCGCTTCCTCCAGCTCCTTCTTGCGGGCCTTCAGAATCGTGACGGCGCGGTCGACATCAATCTTCGGCGCCTTGTCGGCCTTCAGCTGACGAACGCTGTCGCCAGCCTCCTTGACGGCCAGTCGGAAGGAGGCCAAGTGCTAAATAGGAAATTATATCGAAAATGATGAACAAAATACCGTCTCAATGTCCTCCATCTTGCAGTTGTTACAAGGCGAAGCCGTGCGGCTACCTAAACCAGTTTTGGATAATAGCTTGAAAAAGGGAAAATGTATCAGGAAAGTTGCGGAAAAGCTTTGCGAATAGCGCGAAAAAACGCTCAACAAAGTGTCGGGGGCGTCGGAAAGCCAATTTTGGGGTTGGAACCAAATGGAAAACAGGAATTGGGGGGAAGCAAATTCAGTCCAGCTCGCCCCCCTACGACGCGATCCGTTATAACCGCTGTGTACATCCAACAAGACCGGGGTAAAGCTGATGCAAACTTGTTGACGGGTCATTGAAACAAAAAAAGAAAGCATGACGTAAGGTTTTTGTAAAAAAGTTTTGGGCCAAAATTTACGACACACGACTTTACGTTGCCAAACAAAACGAACCTCGCTGCAACTGGTTACGAGAGGAAATCTTCCAAAGTTTTCAATTTTTTTTAAAAATTTATTTTGCTGAGCAAAAATCCACTTTATCTAACAAAAACAAAAGCGCAACGTTGCCTGAATTTTATACTTTCAATAACTTTCACAAGTGGTGGTAGGAGTCAATTTTCAATTTTTTAGGCGTTTTATGAACCCGTTGACGCCAAATACCCTCTTCTTCGTCGACGGATCAGGTCTAAAAAACTGTGCTCATCAAGCGGTATCTTAGCTTCGAAGCCAATATTCGAGTTTAGGAGAAAGAATTTGATGTAGAAGGCCCATCGGGATTAACTCCCTTTCCGGAAAAGGTCCGTGAGCTGTTTTCCGAGATATTTTTAAATTTTAGGTCACTGCTATTTTGGATGGTGATCTGAAAGATGCTATTGAAAAGTTGTTGGCATTCGACGCACCCTTGGCGCTGATCAGCTACGTATGTTTGGCGAAAAGGACTGCTATTACAATGTTTAATTTCTAGTCTTCTTCGCAGTTGCTTATTGCTCGAGATGCCTATGGGCGGGAGAGCCTTCTCCATTCGAAGGGTCCTGATGGTGTTTTCATATCCTGTTTTGAAACTAGCGCTCCATGTTTAGAAGAAAATGTACAAGAGGTTTGTTTGCTAATTAATGACTTTACCATTTTTAGTTGCTAGAATGGCGAGATGTGCCTCCCGGCTCTGTGACGCTGCTGGATTTTGCTGAAAAGAGAGCTGAATTTCACACAATATTGACACCACGACGAATGACTGAGGATATGCAGATGCATGAAGGCTCTTGGGTGGCGGCGTTAGAGCTGATATTTCCAGAGGCTCACATAATACGCCACGAAAATGTTGGCGAACAATTTTTCGCGGTATGTAAAAGTTGTATTTTTTCGTAATATTTTAGGTCTCGCCAGACATCGGTTCACTGCAAGAAATGGGCTCCAAAATCACTGAATTCCTGTTGCACGGAACAAACCAACTTCGCCAATTGTTGGAAGCTGAGATAAAGTGCCGGGAGACGATAGCCATTGGTTAGAAGATATTTTCGAAAAGTCGCATCTTTCTTTTCAGCATTTTCCGGCGGAGTGGACAGCCTTCTGATGGGACATCTCCTCGCCATTATTTTGGCAGAAGGGCATGAAGTCGATCTGATCAATGTGGCTTTTGGTGAGACGCCGAAGGTGGGTTGACTTTTGTAAGACCGAGTTGAACCGATGGCTTAGGAGTGTTCACAAGCCCCGGATCGCCAGCGTGGATTGGCGGGGTTCGAGGAATTGAGGACAAATTATCCGAAAATCGCATGGCGCCTCATTTGCAGCGACGTTTCGATGGCGGAGATCGAGAAGCAGCGGCTTGTAATACCTAGGTAATTTCATTATCATGATGTATCACACGAAAGCTCAGAATCGTTCGACCCTGCGACACGGTGATAGACGAGTCTTTGGGCTTCGTGATGTGGTTTGCCCTACGTGGGATTGGGCTCGTTGATGAAGAGACCACCGTGAGGTAGTGCTTCAAACATTCTTAAAAATCATGTTGTAGCAGCACAGCACGCAAATTTGTTGTGGGAAGCGGCGCGGATGAGTTGTGTGCGGGCTATTCTCGACATAAGCATCGACTAGAAAAGGTTTGTATACGAAATCGTCAAAACATAAAAGTTAAAACCATTTTCCCAAGTTCACAAGCGATTTCAGGAGGGCGCCCCCGGTCTGCAAGACGAGTTAGAAATGGAGCTGGTGCGCTATGGGTGGCGGAATGGCAGCAGGGATGCCCGGGTAGCTCTCTACCACGGCCGACGTTTGGTGTAGGTTTCTATTCAGCGCATCTGAATGCGTATCTTTTAGGGCCCCATTCCTGGTCGGGACCCTAGCCAGATTCTGCCGAGCGTTACCCCTGGCCTACAAGTGTGACGCGGAAAAGGCGAGAGGTGTGGGCGACAAACTGATCATCCGTGAGGCCCTCCGCGCTTCCAATTCCTCATTCTACAAAACGCCCAAACAGGCCATGCAGTTCGGTTCCAGATTTGCGAAAAAGATGAACGGCGACAAGACGATAAAGGTGAGCCGTTTTGTGATGTTCGAAACCTTTTTTTAGGGCACCGACCGAGCGGCAGCACTACGAAACTCTGGACGAGGGGATACACCTAGCGAGTATGAGGTTTAAAGGCCAAATAATAATTATTTATTGACACGCATATATTATTGATAGACTTCGATTCTTCAACCCGTTTTTCTTGCTATCATTCTTACTGACTATTTTCGCCGGCCAGCTGGGTGATCATCGCCTGCAAAGGTTTTTAACTTTCTTAGTAGTTTCATTACCTCCAATTGGTTTGAGAATTTCTTCAACGAGGGCAGATATTCATCAGTGTAGCCGGAAAATAGTTCGAGAAAGCCTCTGAAGCGAAAATTCAATTGAGGAAAATAGATTGCACCTGACGTAGTTGCTCTGAAAATCGGCGTCAGATATCCTGGTACATTTTTCAACTTCATCGGCCTTGCGGGCGAGCAGCTGGAAATTAATTTGGGCATCGGGCTTCCCTATAGAAACTAACCTGCAGGCTGAGTTGAATTTTCTTCTGCACATCGGCGTGCTCGTTCGGAATAAATTCCGAATAAAAGCCCATGGCCTTATCGGCAAGCTGCTTCACGTTCTCCGCCAAAGCTTTTACCTATTATGTTGTGTCTCCTATTTCAAAGCGCAATTTCCGTACCTGTCGAGGGCCTAGCGGTTCCACCTTTTCGATGTGCGACTTGTGCATGGAGAGTCCGCAGTACGAGCATAACTGAAAAACATGAAATCTAATGTAATCCCAGGTCTTTAAACATTTTTCGCGCATTCCAAGCACTGGAACATCTTCTCATCCGGTTCCTGAGAGCCGCAATCCTCGCAAGTCTGCAGTGCCGTCGTGTTTTGGTTCAAAAGATTGGCGAGGACGTCGGCTTGCACCGCGCTTGTTGCAGCTGTAATGACGAAAAAATAAAAGAACTCATCAAGCGACTTACAGTTCAATGTATCCTGATTTTTCCGGGCCTTCTTCAAGCGCATCGCCTTCCGCTTGAGGCTCGCCTCTTTGATCAGCGGCTTGATGTAGGGCGGGACAGTTTTTAGTTGTTCGGCCACCGCCTCGGTAGCGCTTTGCGGACCGTGCGGCCAAATCTTCGTCGATTCATTGATGTGTCGAACCTATATAACAGGCTGGTTTTTTAATACACAAAATCACCAAACCTCTTTGGCAAAAGTCGGCGGCGGATGGTTGTGGTTGGATTTTCTGGTGACGGGCAGTCCATCGCCTTGCCAGTAAGCTTTTCCGGTACATCTTCTTGCGCAGCATCTGAAATTAAGGTTTAGACGTAAAACTTAACGTACCTGAAGTTTGCTTTGCCGGTCGAGTCGACGCGGTACGAGCGATACTCGTACCCCAGCTCGTCGTAATAGAGCTGACCGCCTCTTTGTGACCGGGCTTCACTTGCCGGCAGGCTGCAAATTGCTTGGTAGTTTCAAAGAAAACTTTTTTTAAACCATACCTAGGGCTGTCAAAGAGCGTAAAGTCGGAAACTGTGCCCGGCGTCGAAGGGAGGAGCGGCCTAAAAAAGCTGTAAGTCGACTTCCGGTTTTTACTTTTGCTCTTGAGGCTCCCCGGCGAGTCCCATGAGCAGCGACTGGAAATCCACGGGCTCTTCCATCTTGTAGTGGTTGTAAGAGTACTTTTATCTGTAAGTTTAGGGCTTAGTGGTGAGAAAACAACGAGATACTGAGGTTTTTGGAGGCCTCAATGAACTTTTCGGTAAGTGTGATATCAATTGAACGATTTCCAAAGTTGCGCTTTGCTGTTTGCAATTAACTGGAGGCCATTTAATGTTTTCAGTAGTGCGCGGGCGGTAAAATACACCAAAAGGCCGTTGCACTATCTCAGCAAAATGCGGAAAACGTTGGGCTGCTAGGCGATCGATGGGAGGCGTTGGGAGGGAAAGACGGGAGTCGTTGCGCAAATGCGGCTGGTCGGGCGCGGGGAATGTTGTTGCTGAGTTCCCCGCGCTTGCTGCGGAAAGGGCGGCAGCGACGGGCGGTGACACTTGGTTGGGAATGGGGCAACCCGGGCGCTCACACACAAACCGCCGGTTGCTCATTCTGTGTGGATACGCCTGAAAAAATCTTGGTGCAACTCTGTCTACCTTTTGGGAGGTAGAGATGAAGCCAGTGACGGCTGCAGGACAATTGCGGCCGTGATTGTTTCTGGCCCAAAAACTTTGAAACCCATAGGAGGTCTCTTTAAATATCTTTTTCAACGTGCTCTCTTTTTAGGCTGGAGGACTACGACTTACACCTAGTTTCGGCCGAAAAGCTGGTTTTGAAAACCATAGGAGTAACTTTAAATATGCTTTTCAAAGTCTTTTTTATCTTTTGGGGGTAGTTCCAACTGGTTCAAAAAAATCGCGTTAATATTAGAATTAGCGGTGTCCGGTCAAAAATTCCCGTGGGAATTACGCGCGGCGCGGCGTATGTCGATCAGAAAGTATTTTATTTATACGGTTTACATGTCGCTATAGCGAATACGTACTTTACGGAAACGCAACCTCCTTGAGTTGCCGCTGCAAAGCGAGCTTTCCGTACTTAACCTTTCTTGCAAGGCCTGTTTTCATTTATTTATTCTCGGATTTTCACACTATTTTCAGATTCCTACCTAGCTAGCGTACGGCACAACCTCGTAGGGTGCTATTTGTGCACCCCCAAATTGTCCGCCGATTTCATGTGGTCGAAGGGTCAAGGGGTCAGCTGACGGTCATGGCCCAATCTTTGGAACCGGTCGCCGCCCAATACCTTTAAACGGGCCAGCGAGATCGACATTGGTCTCCCTACAAAATTTCTAAAAATCCTTGTCCCTGGAGATACCTGCAAATCTTTACCTAGCCGAAATAAAAACCCGTTGTTGGTCAGGTTGAGCCGAATTTTCAAAAAAAACTTCCTGTTTCCCGCCAGCCACTGCCCAGCTCCGCGCCGTTATCTCCAGCCCGTTTTTACCACCCTGGAAGTTGTGACACGGGGCGGTGAAAGGCTTGTCAGGAGGGACTGATCGGGGTCACACATGATAAGGCGGCGGTTTTGAAAGGTTCTTTTTCTCTATTGCACCGTATCTTTTGATGCACCATTTGGTTCTTGATGTACATCAGGAAAGCTATTTTCGTCTGTTTTTTGAGCTCCTTTTTAATACCGAATTGTTTCAACTATTTCTGGAAGACACGGTACTCGTCTGTTAGCGGGGGGTTAGCAGGGGGAACTAACTTCTCCAGTAACCCTGTACGGTTCTATAACAAAATACATCATTTTTTGCATTTTACACAGTTTTTAGATATAGAAAGCTTAGAGAAAACGTGTATGATTTTTTGCTTTTTGGTAAAAATATCAGAAATTGCCACAAAATATCAAAATTTTCGACGTTTCAAAAATGTCTAAGCTATCTTTGGTAAAGTTCTAGAAATCAAAAACTACTAAACATAAAAAAAACACAGTTTTGCGTACTAACAGGTAGGTATAGTCCGAAAAATAAAAATTATTTTCCCCTGTAAAACACGCTCCCCCTGCTAACAGTTCAGTACCAAAAACAACTCTAGAACAAAAACTTTTTTACTGTAAGTTTTTACTCGCGGTAAAAACTTTTTTCCGCTGTCGCGCTTACATAATTTACCGATTTTCACCTCAAATTTTTTGATCCTAGCGCCTTTAGACCTTGACGCGCGCCATCAGATTACTTTTTAGGCGGGAAATGCTCCCTTTTTGTCTGGTCTCACGTCACTGGGCGCGTCAAAAATGCTCTGAAGGCTTTTCTTCCGGTGGTAGTTGGAGCGCGGTGCATGGGATAGAGTTGGTGTCGGCTGCTGCTCACACGGCCATTCACGTGCCCCGGCCAGGGTACACACCTTGCCCACCAGGCGTCTCTCGATCTGCCTCGCTATTTGTTGGCGAGTCTATGTCTCCGTTGGTGGTGTCTATCTCTGCGGTGTCTATATTGTCGCTGTGTCTGCTTCGCAGTGTTCTGCTAGTCGACACCCGGGCACGCTGCTCCCTCCTGGTTTTCGGTGCTCTCTCACCGCCACTGTCCCGTCTGGCCGAGGTCACATGGCCCTCCTGCCATCCCGTGCCCGGGCCAGACCCCGGCAACCTGACTATTATACAACATCTATCCCTTTTCTTAGGTTTGGAGACGGTTTTCCGGTCGATACGGACCGTCATTAGTAGCGATCCGGACCTAGGAAGCCGTTGTCCCACGAATAAGTACTTCATAATTTAGTAATCTAGGTCCATTTTTGCTACTAAAAACTTAATTTCCTCAAATAACTCCGCGAAGGCAGTTTGACGTCGATCCGGGTCGTTATTAGTAGCGATTTGGACCTTGGAATCTCGTTACTAAGTATCTGTTCATCTAAATACTTATAAATTTATCAATATTCTCTGGTTTTTGCACCCAATTCATTATTTAATTTAATTTCGTACACAATAATTTTGTTAAAAAATCTAAATATAGTTTTTTGTTTATTATATTAAGGGAAAATTTAGTTTTTTTTATTATTTTTTTTTTTCGGCCGCGGCATTTCAATCCCCTCATAACTATTCATAGGCCAATCGAAATCCTTTTTCCAGGGTAACTTTCAGGGAATCGACCCTTTTGTACGAATTACAACCGATTCCGATTGCCTTGGATTTATCACTTTAAAACGGTTTGAAAGCTGATAAACTTTGATAGTTTATTTATATAAGAAACCTTGATAAGAAACAAGACAAGCTTAACCAATTATAGAGGTTTCAAAAATAAAGAATAAAAGTTTTTTTTTACAAAACTGCACAGTTGTTTCTGCGAAAAGCCCTATTTTGAGCGGCTTTTCCCCACGGTGGTGATGATTTATTGACGCGGGGCTTGTGAATCCATAATTTTTTAGGGCCCTCGAGGAAGCGCACATTTTCCAGGAATTGTAATACGGCTTTTTTAGTAAGATTTATGACCCGGAAAACCGTCTGCCACCGAAACCGTTGGCATTTTGCCACTTTTCCATTGGGGGGATAACGACCTTTAGAGACGCGGGGCGCGCATTGTCCTTGTCCGTTTGGTGGTGGGGGATTGTAATCTCGTGACCGCGCCGGCAAGCATCCCAATCGCGTCATTTCGTGCAAAAATATTTTTTTCGGTTAGTTCGGCGGTTGTGCCAAGGAAAACTTCGCCTATGCAGACCTCCTGTACCCAAATATCCGTAAATTTCGATGGGTTAGCCATAGATTCTGTTATTTGATGTTCAGAAAAATGGAGCTTATGAATTTCTCAGGGGGTTTTTTTTTCGGTAAATTTCTGAACGTTGTGAAAGCGCTCGCGTCTATTGCGAAAATCCTGGGATTGGGGGAAGGGAACGCGCTCCGTGTAGGTGGACAATGGCATCTTTTTCTCACGATACTCGCTCTCTCTCTCGCTCTCTCTCTCTCTCTCTCTTTCTCCTAATTTTAGGCGTGCTTCTTTCGCAACGGTCAACACTGAGCCAAGATTTTTTCAGTTTCTCCCTGAAAAATTGTTTTCGGAAGGTTTATTTAGGTTGCCCTTCTAAAAGTAGATACGCTCGTGCCCCCGAAAACTTTATATCGCGTAATGGGTTGGGCTGTTGAAGGGATTATCAGGGGGGACAGCCGATCGGTGTCTCCCTGCCGTCAGGAACAACCCTCACTCACACTCACGTGATGCACTTTTGCCCTTGAGACCTGTCGGTTCAGAGCTGTTTCCGGGGGTTGGATTTTGGGGATCATCGACTTATTGCAATATCACCCAGATTTTTGGCGATCAGACTCTAGCTTGTGCCCTGAAATTTGTAGTTTGTGATACTGCTCCTTCGTCATATAGTTATTTTGTAATTTTAGTTTTTAAAAGGGACTTAGAAGGCTTGATGTAATAGTTTTTAACTGTTGGGTTTTATCATCTTTTTAAGGTAAATTCACGTAAGTACGTCTCAAAAACGCTCTTTCATGCCCAGCTTCCATTTTGCACACCAATAAGCGCCTTTCAAATTACTCTCTTGTGCCATCACTTTCCCACTCCCCGCCTCGAATTCGAACCCTTCGATTTTTGCCTCTAGAATTGGTCCCCCGAGGGTACGCAGTGGTGTATTGGGTCGGGAGCCGCGAGGATCGATGCCCTCACGCTTTCCACATCTGCACCCTCTACCCCCCTCAGCGCTACGCGACGCGTCTCTGCACACCTCCTCGCGCCCCGCCCCTCTCATCCTGGGTGATGTCTCCACCCTGTGTCCACTCCTCTTCCACTCTGCGCAGTCACAACAAGAAAATAGAGAGCCTTCATTGGTCGGAGCCCCGGCTGGTAGAGCCCGAATTTCTGGGGGTAACTATTGGGAAAGACCTTCTAGCTGTTGTAGTTTGTGTTTTTGTTGGAGGAGGTGTTGGCCAGGGATGATTTGATGATGTACATTGCGGTTTTGGAACTTTCTCAATTTAAAGCGAGGCGGCTTCTTTAGTCAAAGACTGTAGGCATCTAGTAAAAACGTATAAAGGAGCCTCGCGTTGTCAGGAATTTAACTACGGTGCGCCCCACTGAACGCATTGATACTTTGCGCTCATAACTTTCTTGTGTTTCTGAAGCCGTCATGTTTTAGTCTGTCGTTATTGCTTTAAAAACAATGATTTTCTGCGGCAACACATCCAAAAAGTTTGCGCCGCCCTTTTCCTCATCCTCTTTGAAGGTCTATATTTCCGGGCTGGCCGTTTCCTTTACGGCTTTTCACCGGGCGGTCTCTCTCGCATTTCTCCACACAGCCGCTCCCTTCCATCCTTTCGTTGCATCAGTTTGACCCCCCGCACTCTCTTACCCTCCCTATTTCCTATAATCAATGCCCGGGCCCAACATACCTCTTCTTCCGTATCTTATCTTCTTTTCCCGGTCTTTACCTACTTTTTCATGCCATTACTGCGCCCATACCCTCGTCGCCGCGCCGTCTATAATTCAACCATTTTCAGGGCATTACACGGGTCGCCCTTGAATTTTATATGAATGCACGACACCAGAAGTTTCGTTTAGTAAGTTTTTAGATATATTCTTGCTTTTGAAAATGCTAAAAACTTTCAGATTTTGTGGGTTATTTTCTTTTTTTCAGAATGTTGAGTTGCGCCAGGTAAAAGATGCAGCCGCTTGTTTTCTCCACTCCCTTCTATTGCATCGATGCGTTGGAAAGGTGGGGATTTTTATTTTTACCAACATTTGCTAGTAGCTAAAAGTATTCTTTGGAGTGGTGTATATTTCTTTTTACGTTATTCTACGCAGGATTTTGGCAGTTCATTGCTAAATATACTCTTTCTCTCAACGTGAATGAGATAAGAAACCAAAGAATAGACATTTTGCTATATAAATTCCAAAATTCAGCGTGTACCAACATATTAAGAAGTACACCGTAAGGAACTGCATAAACTCTAGTACTTTTACGCTTGCCTCACTCCTTCTACCTTGGCCAAAACGCCCGTCGGGTGCACGTGATCGTGTTGGCCGCCGTGCACTTTCATTTTTGGAGGGACGGGGTGAATCCCCGGGCGTCGTCCCTAACTGGCACGCGTCGGGTCCGGGCTCTCGCCCCTCTCGGCCCAGTTTTAGGGGAACAAAACACGACGGCCAATGCTCGGCTGGTAAATAACGCTCCCATGGCACCATAAACACCCGGCCATGCCTTGGCTAGCTCCCCAAAAATACGCTAGAAGACGCACGCCCTCTCCAGCCAGGGATTGCTGATGTTATTTACGTCAACAAGCGCGTTATCAAAAGGGGGCCTGGAATTAGTGGCGGAGCTTCTTTGGCATTATCGGGGGAAGTGTTTTAATAATGTTTTTAGTAAGATAAAACTATTTTTCAACTAGAAAAAATCTTTTTAAAAAGATTTGGCCGAAAAAATTTATTTTTGTATTTTTACTAAAAATTTGTAAAGTTTTTGCGCATGTGCCAAAGTAAAAAACCGTTTATAAACACTTCCGCTGTTTATATTTCAAAAAATGGAAACAGGTTCAAAAAGGCTTTGCCCCCCGATAATGCGAAAGAACCGCGGCGGAAATTGTACAAAAATATCGCGATATGCGAGCAAAGATTATTGCGACACGAACCTAATTCAACTTCCCCGTTTTCCAGTTCGAGTACAGCGCGGAGAAGCACTTCACCCTCGGCTCCCTGGGGTTCGCCGAGGTCGACTGCGAGAATATCGATCTCACCTATGTAAGTTGTCGACAATTTTTGGAGTTCTGGTTAGCGATCACATTTTTGTGCACCTGACTGGCTGTGTTGCCATCCTTTTGTCAAAACCACCGAGAACAGCGCGCCGCCCGTTTTCCCGGCCTTACACGCTCGGAGAAAACGTACGCCGCGGGGATCAGCTGAGTGTTTGGAGGGGGATCAGCTGGACAGGGGCAGGTTGTTCTTCTTTTCACTGCGCTCTCCTATCGCTGTACAATCTCTCGCCCATCCCTCAATCAACCCCCGCAGCAGCATCGGTCCCATCGACACCGCAGCGACGTCCCGTTCATTGGTGGGGGGGGGAAGGGTTGTGCGAAGTGTGCTCAAATATGGTCACGGATATGGTGGGGAGTGGGGGATTGTTCAGCTGCAACTGGGGGAATTGGTGTGGAATCGGAAACTCAACTAATGCATTATGAAAAACGGCTCCTTTCAGGTACGAATAAACAGCGACGAGCTGTGCGCGAACATCGACGAGCACGTCTGCGCATTCTACTCGGATGTGGCCGAGAGTTTGACCTCGCATCCGCCCACCCCGGCCTCATCTCCATCAAGTCCGCCGATAAACCGATTTGGAGGTCAGTGAGCAGCCGAAACGGCCTCAGACATTTTCAAAACCCATAAAAATCGAACGGTCGGTCGGATTATAGGAATCAAGGCAAAAACTATCGCCAAATTCCAGACCCCAGCTCCTCGTCGACGCAGGTGATGCTCGGCCTCGAGTTTCTGCAGAAAAAGAAGCGCCAATGGCCCTTCAGCGAGGAGCTCGCCTCGTGGGAGGTGTGGAACCTCGGCCTAGAGATTTGCCGTACATCAAATGGTAAGTTTCTAGTTGCAGAATACCTATGAGCTCCCCCCCTCCAGATGAGCTGTCGGTGATGCGGGAGAGCGTGGCCGAGGCGCTCGGCGATTTGGTGCTCGCCGTCTGCTCACAAATAAATCGACCGCAATACATGCCGAAGATGCCCAGCAAGTAAGTTTTCCGAGCTTCATCGACTGTAACTCGGCTACCCGTTCTCGGACAGGGTTGTAAAGTGTACCAAGTCGTCAGAACAAGACGAACATTTTGGTATACTTTACACGCCTATAGACTACCAGAGAACGGACTTGCCGAAAAATTTTTAAATTTTGAAAATGTTGTTTTTAAATTTTAAATATTGTTTTTGAAAATTTGGCAAAAAACAATCCGAAAGTCGAAATTTTGCAAAACTACTTTTTTTCGAAAACCTACTTGCTCACCTAAACTTCCTGAATTCAGAACGGAGCTGACGAGCGTCTTTGACGTCCAATTCTCCGACTGTCAACCCTACCTCTACAAGGTGGTCACCTCAACCCCACTCAACCGTAAGTTCGGCACCAGCAAATTTTAACAGCTGCCCATTTCCAGGCCGCCTTCAAGCCAGCCAGCGCCCACTCGCCACCATCCAGTCGGTCATCAAGAATCTGGCGTATCCGACGTGAGCCCCCGCCAGGACTCTGTCGACCTTTCTAGCCATCCATTCTTCCGCCCCACGGGTTCGCTCTAGTGGATATCGAATTTAGTCTCTCCCCCGGCTTATACATAATCAGCCCCCAACCCAGTGGAAAGCTTTTGCCTTGCCAAATCCACTCAATTCCGGCGCGTCGGCTCGAATTTCGCCTTGGATTTGTTGGAGGCGTAAGGCAAATGTTTCTCCACTCTGCCCTCCCCATTCAGAACCAGGTGCCTCAACCCAGGGGTCGCCCAGTCTTTCCCATCCCCGAAAACCACTCCTCAACGTGGAGCTTGTGCCTATTCCCCTCCGCCCTTACCCTTGTACACAGTACTCTATCGTACCCTGCCCGCCGCAATCTGTCATTTTCCCCCACCCAAACCCTCCCCCCGGATTCTACCCTCACTTACCGGCCCGATGATTCTGATACGCAGGAAAAACCGCCCACTACCAATTCTAATCAAACAGCTTCAGGCACCTTTTCGCGGCCATGTAAGCGCCGCCCCAAAAAAACCTCATCGCTACAACGGTGGCCACCGCAGGCCAACGTGCTCAAGTGTAGACACCCTCCCCCTAGGCTGCCCATAGTTGTGCCTCCACACATTGTTTTTGTTTGCATTTGTCTCGTCGCGTACTCTCGCCCTAAACACCTCTATGTCGCTCTCCCCACTCTCTCGTCGACTCGAATAAACGTGTATGTACAAAATTGGAGTTTGATGATATTAAAAAGCACATTGGAAGGGGTAATCTGGCAAGAGGGCGGTGCGGAAGTGGTTTTACGAGAGAATAAGGGTTTGGAGACGCCTGAAAATCTGAAAGCGAGTTGGAAAAGCGGCACCGAAATAGAGCCTTGCGGAAGTCGTTTTGCTACAAAACAAGGGTTATAAAAGCCTCAAATCTCATCTGGAAAAGTGGCAAAATGGCAGCAAGCCCTGGGGCTCTGGGGGGGGGGGGGCCCCCCCCCCCCCCCAAAGTTGTATATAAAAGGGGGGGTTATATTTAAATTCAAAAAAAAAAAAAAAATAAAAAAAAAAAAAAAAATTTGCCAAATTTTAAGTTTTTAAATTAAAATAAAATAAATATTTAATGATGAAAAAAAATCGGTTCCCCCGCCCCAAAAAGGGTTTCCCCCCCCCTCCACCCTTGAGGAAGTGATTTTACAAGTCTGACATCGATAGAAAAGGATATTTCCTCGAAAAAGGGCAAACTAGCAAAGAAAAATGTTTTTTTTCATAAATGAACCGCAAAACAAACTAAAAGATGTTTCCAAAAGTGCTTTTACCAAAAACACAAGCGATAAAACACCATAAATTCCTTACAAGTCCAAGACTTTCCTTTTGAATCCAGAACTTTAAGTCTACAACTAAATTAGCATAAGCCTGCAAAGCATGGAAAAATTGATCAGGGAGCTCTGAAAAATCCAACCGCTATACCTTCCTACTGCCTTCGCGATGGACAGCGTGCAGACGCCCCAGGGCTCGGTGGCAATCAGTGCGTTTTTCGGCTCAAGCTACGCTTCAAATTTTGCAGCCAAACTTTGTAGTAGAGATGTTTTTATTCAGATACGATATGCATCCAGATATATCGCATCTGAATAAGCCATCGGAATTGAAAAATCCTAGATGCGATATAGATAATCGTATCTGAATTGGAATCCGACCCACCGAGATACGATACTATCGGAATAACTTTTGCATATCGGATTAAGGGAAATTAGGGCGCTCGGTAGGCGATAAAATGGATGCAAATCGTAGGATCTTGTCTCGGAAACGCCTAACCTTATGCTCTTTTATGCAGACAGACCGTACGGAGCAAGTATTCACGGAAATAATGGATTTCCTGCTTATTCCGATATGCAAATGTTATTCCGATCTAGCGTATCTGGATTGAGCTTCGCCGATCCCAGATGCGATAATCGTATCTCGATTGTCCAGCCTTGAACCTAGATACGATATGCAAATTGCCTTAAATGCAAAATTTCCCATATCGTATCTGAATAAAAACATCTCTACTTTGTAGCCTGAAATTTACAATTGATAGGCGGCAGCTCGGCCCGCCGCGGGCCCAACAACACGCTGCGCCTGAAAAAGGCGCCCAACCCGAAGAAGGAGCAGCAAGTGGTTGGTCTTGCCGTGAAAGATCGCCTAAATTTCACTAATTGAGCGAACGAAGACTAAACAAAAGAACCAAAGGCTGTGGTTCAGTTTACCCCCCCAGCCGACCCCACCTACCATATCTCGGCTCCCTGTTCATCTACAGGCGTGTAAGGTATACCAAAATACTCGCCAGAGCAAGGCGAACATTTTGGTATACTTTACACACCTGTAGATGAACAGGGAGCCGAGATATACAGGGTGTCCCAAAAAAAAGAACCATCTGGCATTTCGCCGTGTTACATCTAATCGGCCCCAAATTTGGACCAGAGGCTTATCAGACCCTAAATAACAACAATCCTGACTTTTAGCCCCGTAGCTACAGTTGTTCTCGAGTTATAACGAAAATACTGTTTTTCAGAGAATTCTGCACAGTTTTATTGGCTATCTTTTTGGACTTTGCCTCGATTTGCATCGACTTCCGGCCGCGAATCCCTAATTTCGCTTAAGAACTTGGGTAATTTTGCGTTGTAAAAATCGCTTAAATCGAAGCTTATTTAATTAATTTTACTCTGGAAAAAATTTCTTAAGGTAAAGAAGGCCTACCGGATCATTTTCACTTAATGTCTAGGGGGTCTAATTCCACGAAAACCCTGTGAAAAATGGAAAATAAAGTTTGTTTTTGGCATAGCTCGAGAACGACTGTAGCTACGGGGCTAAAAGGCAGGATTGTTGTTATTTAGGGTCTGATACACCTGTGGTCCAAATTTGGGACCGATTGGATGTAACACGGCGAAATGCCAGATGGTTCGTTTTTTTTGGGACACCCTGTAAAAGTTGGGTGCCGGCTGGGGGGGTAAAACGAACTCTTACCGAACCAAAACACTTTTTGTCTTACAGTTCAAAGAAGAGGGCGGCTGCGGGCCGTACGTGCAGAGAAAATTTGTCGAGTAGGCCCTGGAAGTTGTTTTTCTACTTTTTTTTTGGCAGGCATTTCATCCAGCAGGCCAGCTTCTACGCCTTTGTCAAGCCGGAAAATGCGGAACGGAGGCGTAGTCCGGGTATTCTACCAGATTTTTACTTAAAATCCATTAATCTAAGTGACAATAACTCCTTATAAAAAAAACTGCTTGAAGCCGTGCTGCTGCTGGACGCGACGCGCGTCGTCCTGCGCGACTGGCCCCACGACTTTGTGCACGCCAGCTGGGTGTGCGGGCTTGAGGATGGTGCGTCAATTGATGTACCATTAGAATTGTCGCTTTTTTTCAGGCCGCTACGAGGATCAGACCGAGTGGAAGGCCAAGCAAAGTGGGAGTTTTTTTGAAAACTGACACGAAAATCAACATATACTAGCAATAATAAATTTTAGAGAAATACATCGCCGCCCAGGCGCCCCACACGCCCGCCGTCGCCGCCGACTTTTGGCACATGTGCGCCCAGGAGGGCGTCGAGGGCGTTGTGCTGCTCGGCGAGGAGGACGCCAAGTAGGACATTTCCGTTCACTATACTACATCTACATACGTAGGGCCGTAATGACGGCGCCGAAATGCGGCGACTACAACGTGAAGGTGGAGCAAAAAGTCGGAGCAGCGCGGCTTCACCGTCCACTCGGTGCAGCTGGCCGGCAAGATCAAGCACTCGCTGACGGTATGGCAAAGCAGAGTTGGCTAACTGTAGCTTTGCTGCAGCTCTTCTGCCTGGCCGCCTGGTCGGTGGACGAGAAGCCGCCGGTCGAGACGTTCGCCAAGTTTCGGCAAGCGGTAGGGCAGGGTTGAAGCATGAACCGCCCCTTTTCCGCTGTAGATCTGGGCCGGGGTGAGTGGCAAGAAGCCGATCGTCGTCACCTGCAAGTTTGGCACCTACCGCACGGGTGAGCCTTGAGAACCACGAAAATAACTTTAAACCTTCCAGGCCTCTTCCTCATCTACGACATCGAGACCGAGCGTATCGAGAAGCAGAAGAAGCTCGACCTCGACGGCACCGTCAAAGATCTGCGGTAAGGGTGAATTAATGCGACGGTTCTGTTCTATTTCGCGTGGGGGGAAAAACTGTGCGGGGGGGGGGGGAATATGCTTCGCGGAACCTTCCATCTTTTCGCTATTTTCTCGGGATTTTTGCAACGCCATTCGATAGAGCATCAAAAAATATACTAAGAGTTTTTGTTTTAGCTAAAAATATTGTAATATGAAAAAGTTATAGCAAAAACAAAAAAACTATTGAAACTGGTTCCGGAATGTTAGTTTTCGGCATTTTCGCCAGTTTTTCGATATTTTGAACTCGTCATTCGATAGAGCATTAAAAAATATACTCAGAGTTCAAGCATAACGTTGTTTTATAAAATAGTTATAGCAAAAACAAGGTTTATAATTCGGTGTTTCCACATGGGATCGTGGAGTCGAAAGCTAGTTTTCGACATTTTCGATAACTTTCAAAAATTTCTTTAATGCCATTCGATAGCGCGTGAAAAAAATATACTAAGCGTTTTAATTACAATTCAAAATAGCATCATATAAAAGAGTTATAAAAAAAACGAAGAAAATCCCCCCCGCACAGTTTTTTCCCCCACGCGAAATAGAATAGAACCAATGCGACCAATATACAAGAGTCTTTATAATATAACAAACTCACCTTTTTAGCATATAACATAGCATATATTTAGCATGCAGCGCCACCACGTGTTCGACGAGTACTCGGCCTACGAGGTGGCCATCGACATGTTCCTCGACGTTTGCAAGGGCCAGTCGAAATAGCGCCCAGCAGCACGAAGGCATCGCCGCCGATGTTGCCCATTAAAAACTCCCCAATATTCGCCCATTCATTCATTCACATCCTTATTCCGCGTTCAACAAAACCTTCTCGATGATCCGCCTGTATTTCCCGGCATTCGACTGATATTCGTTTCCGAAATAAACATTGTGATTTTTTGCGGCGAGGCAAGAAAAATAATTTTTCTTAACACTCCAAAGTGCAAAAACTCGTAAAAACAATAATAAGACGATTAAAAAAAGATATATTTAGGAAATAAACTCCTAAACACACTAGCAGACCATTACCTAACAATCTGATTTTGCTGAACCTACCTCCTCGTTTTTGACAAGTTCCCCATCACCTAATCGCTCTCTTTCTCCCTCCCCTCTCATCCTCCTTTTCGAGATCTCGCTCTCTCGCCCACCGCGGATTGACAGCTCCTATCCCCAATCTGCTCTTTATGGCCTTGCCCCCCGACCATTCACTTGATTAGTCGCGCTTTGCACGCGCCCAGCCTACTAGTTTCCGTTGTTTCGAAACCATTATTACCTTCCAATACAAAATTTACATACCGCCATTTTGCTCTAAAAATGAAAATCATCGGCACATCGACGTTGCAGCGCGAATGGCCACCCGCGCGGCCTTCTCCCGGGCCTCGCAAAACGTGCAGCAGCACTTGAAGCAGGAACTCCAGGGAATCCAGGTACCCGACTAACCGCCTCAGCTTCCACGCTTTTTTTCAGGAAGCCGGCACCTTCAAGAAAGAGCGGGTGATCGTTGGTCGTCAGGGTGTCGAGGTCAAGCTACAGGTAAGGCCACTCGTCTATACCACTAAAACCTTTAGGGACTCGATGGTACCTATCTGAACTTTTGCGCCAACAACTACCTGGGCCTGAGCAGCCATCCGGATGTAAGCGTCATTTTTTAACGCAAAACCGTACTTTTCTAGGTGATCAAAGCCGGCCAAGAAGCGCTGAAAACGCACGGCGCCGGCTTGTCCAGCGTGCGCTTCATCTGCGGCACTCAGGATATCCACAAGCAGGTAGACAACCATAAATTGTAAAATTCTGAGCTTTACCTTGCAGCTGGAATCGAAAATCGCCCAGTTCCACGGCACGGAAGATGCCATCCTCTACGCCGCGTGCTTTGATGCCAACGCCGGGGTTTTTGAAGTCCTGACCGGTGAGTGAATGGCTAAAAATTATTAGGGTTGTTGTCTCCTAGGGCCCGAAGATGCCATCATCTCCGACACGCTCAACCACGCCTCGATCATCGACGGCATCCGCCTGTCGAAGGCAAAACGGCTTCGATATGAGCATCTCTCGATGGGAGACCTCGAGCAAAAGCTCAAGGAGACGAAAGGTGGGTAAACGCGAGAATCACAAAATTGCGTTTAGATTCCCGTCATCGAGTCATTGTGACGGATGGCGTCTTCTCGATGGATGGCGACGTCGCCCCGCTCAAAGCCATTTGCGAGCTGGCCGACAAGTAAGCGCTGCTCGATAAAGATAATAAATAACACCTACTTCTACAGATACGAAGCCTTGGTCTTCGTCGATGAATGCCACGCCACCGGCTTCTTCGGCCCAACCGGCAGGGGAACACAGGAGGCCTTGGGTAAGCCATTAGACGTCAAACCGGCGAAATCAAAACTTGTAGGCCTTGGCCACCGCGTCGACATCATCAATTCGACCCTGGGCAAGGCGCTCGGTGGCTCGATGGGTGGATACACGACGGGCCCGAAACCCCTGATCGACCTGCTGCGCCAGCGTTCCCGCCCTTACCTCTTCTCGAATTCGTTGGCGCCCAGCATCGTCGGCTCGTCGATCAAGGTAAAACACTTTGTCCCTACAAAATTCATCATTTTCCAGGTGTTCGACATGCTGATGAATGATAGCTCGTATGCCGCCTCGCTGCAAGCTAACGTAACCCGCTTCCGGACCGGCATGAAGCAGCTCGGCTTCAAGGTGCTCGGAAATGACGCCCATCCCATTGCTCCGGTGCTTCTTGGTGATGCCCGGTAGGTCAGAAAAAAATATTTTGCATCGTCGTTCTGCCAGGATCGCATCCACGATGGCCGATGAGATGCTCAAGGAGGGAATCTATGTGATCGGTTTCTCATACCCAGTTGTCCCCAAAGGTCAAGCGCGGATTAGGGTGCAGGTAAAAGCCGAAATCATAATTTTTATCCTTTTTACTTTCAGCTTTCCGCGGCTCATACGGACAAACAAGTGGATCATGCGGTTGGCGCCTTCGAGAAGATTGGGAAGAAGCTGAACGTTATTTAACCGGCGGCCAATTATCATTATACCCGCATTGTGATAAATTAACGAAAGACGAATGTTTTTAAACAGGAAGGAATAGACAGCGTGAAAGTTCCTGTAAAAAATATTTATTGTTTATTGATCGGTTACGCGTTTTATACGCCGCTTTACACTTTACGGATTCGTATATTGTATGGTTTCGTCGTATCAATAATTTCCGCGAAAAATTTTCATTTCTAATTTTGCTCTGGTCTTACTAAAAGTTCCACGTTCGTTTTTTTTGTATAAAAGTATGAAAATTTGACTTTCCTGCGCGTTTTGTTTGCTTTCTGGCCTTCTCGTGCCATCGGCTCTGCCGTGCGCTGAAAACATTGGATCGCACACCGTATCCTTTTGGGGTATGGCTGTTGTGATAGCAACGGTAAACAACCAGTTGCTAAGGCGCGTCTATGGATAGGTTAGTTAGTTTTTGTAGATAATAGCTAAAACAAAGACAGAGCTCCAACCTTTTAAAGGGCATTTCGGGGGCTTTCTCTGACTTTCACAGACTCATTTCCGTATTCTTAATCTTGGCTATTACAGGAACGTCTCTAAGGGCCTAGTCCTAAGTTTATCAAACTAGCTGTCTGATCCGCCGGTCTAGTCGATTTCTAGTGAAGATGTCTAACAACGTGAGGAAGTTTTTACAGGGCGGATTAACTTTTTTTTGCTCTTGCAAGGATGGATAAACGGTGCATTTTCCAGAATGAAGACGAGTCGCTCCGTAAGCTGTTTATTGGCGGAATCAAGTTGGACACGACGGACGAGACCTTCCATGACTACTATGCAAAGTTCGGCGAAGTTGTCGACAGTGTTATCATGAAGGATGCTCACACGCAGCGCAGCCGCGGCTTTGGATTTGTCACTTATGCCTCTAAAGAAGCGGTTGGTTTTACTTCGTTGGTTATATTAATTGGTGCGTTTAGGTGGATGCTGCTATGTCGATGCGCCCACACGTTATCGACGACAAGCCGGTCGACGTGAAGCGAGCTATCCCGAAAGACGCCATCAACAAGAATGAGAGCAATATTTCCTCAAAGCGTCTATACGTCAGCGGCATCAAGGAGGGTATAACCCAAGAGGAGCTGGAAAAGTACTTCTCGGAGTTCGGCGAAGTGGAGAAAGTCGAGTTGATCCTGAACACCGACGGACAGCCGCGAGGCTTTGCCTTTGTCAGCTTCCATGATTACGACCCGGTGGACAAATGTGTGCTACAACGGACGCATGTGATCGGCGAACACCGATGTGAAACTAAGAAAGCGCTGAATAAGGAAGAGACCGCCCGAGCCCAAACTCAGCGTGACCGCACAATGCGCTACAGGCAATCGCGATCAGGTATAAATATGCGAATTGATCCTCAATTTTACTTTAGAATTCGGTGCTGGACATCCACCTCATGGCGGCCCTCCCGTTGCATACGGGGCTCCATCTCCCTGGGCGAGCGGCTACGCACCCGTGCCTCCACACTACGCGGCCCCGGCTCATATTGCTGGCGGTTATCCTCAACACGTTGGTGCTTACGGAGACTATGCTGGCTATGCTCAGGTAATCATTATTTTATTTACAAAGATTTATTTCTAGGGATACGGCGGCAACTGGGGAGCTGCTAAACCTGCTTGGGGAGGACCACCAACGGGCGGTGCTGGATGGAATGGCGGCGGTGCCCAGCGGTTTTGAAGCTCTAAGCGACTGCATGTCTTTACCAAAGCTTTATCGTTATGTTTGAAAGTATAATTTCTTCTGTGATAATAAAATTTTTATTATACGTCGGGACTTGTGACATTGAATGGGAGTGGCCACTCGCGTTTGTGCAATGATTTGCCATACATGCGAAAATGTCGGGGGTGCCTGAATGCTTCGGCGAGAAATAATCGTTGATTCAGAATGGCGGAAAACGTCTTCGGGGTGATCGTCAGTGGCCGATTGGTATTTACAGCAATGATTATAACTTGGTTTAGTTGCAAACAAACTTTGTTCAAGCCGGTGAAAGGGAGTTTATGGTCGAGATTGCGGATGCTGATTCTATAAACCACGTCGTCGTTTTTCTTACTGGCGTCCAGCCCTTCCCTGATGGAACCGGTGGTGCAGGTGCGCTTCAGGGATTCTGCCATTATTGGATTTAGTTTATATGCGGTGGCCACTACCCAGCGGCATGGAGTCTAACTGGCATTTCCTCGGATTTATCAGCAACCAGAAACCGAGCGCAATATTCAAGGTTGCAAAGGTAGATTGATATTTTATCGCAAATATAACGCTTATTTTGAGCTGCACCAAGCCGATGCAGAGCACGCCGGTGTTTTTGGAAGTGGTTTCACTGCCTCTGCTCACGGAACAGCGCAACTCGGGATTCAGGTAAATTATGACGAGCTTTTGGAAATTTACTCAGGTTGAAACGATGGCAGAGATCGAGGGCCGGGTGGGAAGCAGCGGCACGGAAGCGTCCAATCAGGTACCCAATTTATTAAGGCCAAGATATTTCTTTCAGTCCACCCTTGTCGAATTTGCCGATAAAATGCTGAAAAATTTGGTTAATCATGCGCAGGTATGGCTTTGTATTGTCCTATAAATGTCTTCAGTCTTTTTCCGTTCGACTACCGCGGCCCGGAGGGCTTGGATCTGCCGACTACATTCCAGTATCCGCACTTCAAGACTGGTAGACATGTTCCGTAGTAATTCACAATGGTGTTCTAGGTTTACAAACTTTTCACGCCGCTTCCAACAGAACCCGTATTTTTGGAGGGCACTGAACAACAGCTGACCACATCAAAATTGCGGATTCAGCCTCTTTCCGGTATTTTCGCTTTATTTCGGGTCTTGTAACTTGTGAATATAAACATCCCAATTCAAGTCCAAATTTCCTTGAACATCTTTGTATTTTCATACCCTTGATTAGTTTGATAAAATGTTTTATCACGTTGAGATCGGCGATAATTTTTAGGAGATCAATATTATTGAGGGGGATTATTAACAAATGCCCATTTTTGTCCATCGATGCTCCGTGGGGCGCGAATTGCCCTCATCGTCGTAGTCGTTTATCGTCCAGGTTGATGCCTGAAAGCAGAAAATTGGGAGTCTTATTTTTGCAATGTACTGTGCTTTGTTCTCCATCATCATTAACTTCGCGCTTCTGTAGTTGATCCATGAAGCGTCCGAATGTTTTGCATAGATGGACGAGGAGTAAGGTTTCTGTGATGACAAGGAGCAACTAAAGTTGAATTCTAGGACTTATTCCTTTAGCACTTACGTCAAGTACGATATGGACGGCTTCGCCGCTGGAAACTCCCGCTCGGTTGGAGGCGAGCCGGAGGAAGGAGATGAGGATGTTGAGGTAGAGGACGAATGCCGATACTAAGGAGAGCAGGAGGGCCGGGCAGAAGAGCAGCAGGGATTGGCGTGGGATGGCAAGCAACACCAGCGCGTACAACGGTAACATCACCGCGTACACAAGGGCTACAGCTGGAATGGAAATTTTTTTATTTTTCTGCCTTGCTGCTCTCACTGGCTCTTGGGGTTCATTTCCGTGGAACCAAAGCCCCCGTGCCCGCATCTAGGAAGTTTGCTTTTAATCCAATTTGATGGCATTATGGCCGGGGTAGGGCGCGCATCCCCGATTTCAGATAGCCAATCCTCGGGTTAACCCGGCGCGAAATCGTATTACGCGCAGAGAGGGACCAAAAACGTGAGGTGCTACCGGGTGGACAAATGTTTGTGGTATGTGAAGGCCGCATGCAGGAGCTTTTTTTAGATTCAACAGTTGCACCGGAATTCCTGCACATGGACTGACCGTAGAGAAATAGATGGTTAAACCCTTCATCGAATAGGATGGAGACAAGGATGCAGTTGAACAGGAAAAACTTGACGACCACCGCGATGATGAAAGAACGGTGGTGGCGGAGGTTGGGCCGCTCGTCGAGGAATGCCTGGAAAGTCGAGTTCTACCGATGAAAAAAATATATAAAAAAAAAAAAAAAAAAATAATAAAATTATTAAAAAAAAAAAAAAAAAAAATAAAAAATTATAAAAAATAAATATAAAATAAAATAAAAAAAAAAAAAAAAAAAATATTTTTTAAATAAAAAAAAAAAATAAAAAATAAAAAAATAAAAAAAATAAAATTAAAAAAAAAAAAAAAAAAAAAAAAAAAAAAAAAAAAAAAAAAAAAAAAAAATAAAAAAAATAAATTAAAAATATAAAATTATATAATATATATAATATTTATATATTAAAAAATATATATATTAAATATAATATAAATTAATATATATAAATATTAAAAAAAAAATATATAATAAATAAAAAATTTAAAAAAAAATTTAAAAAAAAATTTATAAAAAATATTATATAATTTAATATAAATATATAAATAATATTATTAATAATAATATATTATTTTTATTATATTACTTTTAAGGCACCTCGGCACGAGTGGATACGCTACAGGTCCCATCCTCGGCCACCACTATATCGACGGGCGTCGTTTCCTCCTGCTTCGGGCGACCATTTTGAGCAACTACATGGCGTCGTCGAATAAGCACGTTAATTTAGCTTACAGTTTAGCAGGCGCGTCTCCTCGGAAGCATGCGGACGGGTCGCCTCGGGCGGCAGCTTGAAGACGTGCACTTCGTGGAGCGGGACTGCGCCTCCACCTCGCTTCAGGGCATAGAAATTCGCTGAAATTGCTGTGCTAGAGAGTAATGAGGCAAAACCGAGGTAACTCCTTGAATTTATGTACAACACGGACTGGTATTAAATTGGAAATTGGTGGTTTCTGCTAGTAAATGGAGAAATTAGCCGGTGAATAGAGCGCTTTAAAAAAGATAATAACAGGGCAAGGTTCCTTGAAACACCGTGGGTTTTTCGAGAGAATTAGAGCAAAAATATTTACAAAACTAGGCGTTTCCTGGCAAGCTAGCCGCGGTCTACCTGCACGGCTCGCTCCGCCCCGTCTGGCACAAGGTGGGAAAATGAGCGCCGCGAAAATGTGTGGAGTGGGGGGGGGGAAGAACCCGTAACATCCATCAGTTCCCATTTATCCCCATCGCTGATGTCTCCTGATCGATTTGCAGTGTGCCGACGGCGACCATTGGACTGATTCGCGTTCCGCCCAGCACATTGCAAAAAACGATGGCTGTTTTGTGGGGCGGCAGGAAGAACCCTTCAACCCGATGCCTACTCCCTACTCGTTTCCGGGGCAAAGCACTTATGTGGCACACGCGGTGAGGGGGGGGGGGTAGACCCATTTCGAGGAGATCGTTCCCCGGGTGATAAGTTGGCCGGCTTCTCAATTGGTGCGAGTACGGCGCGGAATGCGCGTGTGGGAACGCGCGAAAAATAGAACGTAAAACGGGGCAGATAGGCCTAGCTGTGTCAGAATCAGTGGAGCGAATAAGTTTTTAAAGATACGCGCAAGGCTAAAGGGATTTGGCTATGGATTTCCTCCGAGTAAATACTAATTTTGTTTTTATGCCTATGTTAATAATAAATAGTGTATTTGGATCATGTTTTTAGTGAGAAAGTTACAATTTCGAAATTCGAAATTTTGACCTGTTTTGGCCATTTTCATAGATTTTTGTGCAGAATTCAAAAATGTTCGCAAAATTTTTGGGATTGTTTATGAGCTTTCTATATCAAACAGCTGTGTAAAGTGCTAAACAAGTGGTTTGTTTTTTGTTATAGGATCGTATAGGATTACTGGGAAAAATTGGTCATCGTCCAGCACCTTTAAATTCAATAAAATCCATAATTAACCCCTTTTCCGGCTAAAAAGAACGCTACGTCGAACCCCGTCAGACTGGCTTAAAAAATTGTATATCGAATCGAGGGTTATGCCGAGATGAGTGGTGGCCGGGGAAATCGGATTCGGCCGCCCTGCGGCTTCCCGAGGAACACAAAACGCGTGGAACGTATCAACAAGCCGGCGGGTCCAGAATTCAGCGCGGGACGTCAGCGAAAAAGGAATTTTGAAGCTTCTCCTCCGTCGTGCCGCTCATTAAATAGGGCTAAATGAGGCGCCGCTGTGGGGGAATATGGAGCCCAGACGTCGGCTTTTGCACGCAAAATGGCGGATAAGGACAACAACCCTTGTGTCTAATTTGCTGGCTTCCGCAAGTCGGTTCGGCGGGCGTAAGTGAGGTGTAAAGGGCATGCGGCGGGGGCTGGACAAAGTAACTTTTGTTCGAAAAACGGGTTTTCTAGGCAAATTAATCTGGTTTCGTTTTCAAAACGTCGAAATTCTATCTTTTCGGGGAGATTTAGGTACTCGACTGTGAGCGGTGGGGGGTTGATGAGCGGCAATAAAATGTTCCCACGTGATACCGTACGGCCGTTTAAAGATATAAATAATTTTTACGGTATTTTCGTCTAGATTTCATTAATTATAAAATTTTCGAAAATGTTTTAGGTAAAAAAATGCACAACAGAAAAATGTACAACAATGTACAATGGAAAAAAGACCAAAGTTTCAGAATGTTCAGATTTTTTAGAATATCCTATTATCGTCGAAAAACGGCATAAGCTAGTTTTTATTCTGGGGATTTTTTTATTTTATTAGTTTTTATTTTTTTTATAGCTCAACGAGCCGAATGAGGTGCAGTAGCAAACGAAAAAGCTAATTTTTACATACACGCCTGCGCTTGTGTGCGAGATAAAAGAACGGCCCAGATCCGGGCGACCAAGAAGAAGAATCGCGTGAAATTGGAATGGATGCCCGCGGCGGGGCCCCAAGTCGGCGCCGGCTGATTGCGTCTTGAAAAGCCGAGAAAAGCACATCACCCCTCAGAAGCCGGGCGCCCATCCCGCCCTCGCCGCCTTCAAACCCGCCCGTTTCCGGTGCTAACAAGCTGGTGGGCGCGCGCGGAATCTGCTGCAAAAAACAAGGGAACCCGCAAGACTGGTTTGAGTTTGAAAAATATCTTGAATTATGGCCAAATAAATTTTAGAACTGTGGCCCCAAGGCCTGTGGCTGTTTCCCCGGAAGTGGGCACCTTTAATGCGGCCCACAGCTCTCCCACAACCCGCGCCATTCGGGCCCACGGCCCTAACAAATCCCTGGGATCTTCGTGAATAAATTACGGGAATCCCGCCCGGCCGCTCTAAAGTGCCCGACGGGTATTCTGGGAAACGGCCGCCGCGCTGGCTTCGCCTGAAAAAAAACACACAAATGGCCGTGTGAAACTGGTGGCCGGCCATCGTTTGCGGAATTTTCTGAAAACTCGCGGGTGCGAAAACAAGTTATCAAGGGATCGAGAAGGGGTTCTTTCACATTATCGGGGGGGGGGCGAAATTTTTTGAATGAATCTAGAAATTTTTAGTAGCGTAATAGGAAGTATTTCTTAGTATTTTAGTAAAATATAACTGTATTTCAACCACAAAACTATCTAAAAACTCTAAAAAATATTTTTAAAGCGGCGATTTGTCCAAAACGCGATCATTTTCGGGTTGAAAAATCGATATGTCCGTTATTTTTTCGTAATTATTACTAAGTTTTCACGTTTTGTAATAGTCGAAAGCCGGTTATAAACAGTTCCGCCATTTATATTTGAAAAATTGGATCCTATGAAAAAATTGGTTAGCCCGTCCCGATAATGCGAAAGAACCCGAGAAGGTTTCGGATTTTCGGAAAGGCAAAACGGCTAAAGTCGGGAAAAGGCGATAATTTGAAGGGAATTTTTGAATTTGAATTTGAATTTTTACGTTTTTTATAGGCGATGGCTGAACGGGACGCGAATCGCAGAAGGCTTGATCTTCGGCGGCTGCTTCAGCTGGAATGGGGTGCGTTTTTCTAGAGTTGTATAAACACCAGATGGTTACAGTCGCTTCGCGACTGCAACCATCTGGCCTTCGGGCTACCCACCATGTCCCACTCCACCACATCCTTTCCCACCTCCATCAATACCCCCGACTTACAATACCAATACCCTTCAAAAACTACCTAAATACCTTCCTGATTGCTTTAGATACTTCCCCTAGCCGAAATCCCCTTAAAAAACGAAAATAACGACCGACCGGATCGAATGAGAGAAAAAAAAGAAATGCAATCCCCGTGAAAATTTTCATCCAGGAAACGCGCGCGACCTGGCTCACTATGTCCAAAACCACCCCAACCTCGGTCCCCCACCCCTTTTACTAAGGAAAAAACTTTCAAAGTTAATTTTAATAATTTAAACTAAAACTTTTTCATAATTTTTTTATCAGTTTGGGGGTTTCTGACCACGCTCTATCCGAATCCGAAGAGAGCTAAGCTCTAGCTCCTTTCCCCTTCGAGTTGAATCCGGGACCGGACACACACACACACAGACACCTCAAGAAAATTATTTGTATAAACATTTTTCCAGGGTATTTGGTCACTGGCTTGTTGTGCTGTGCTTCTCCTTTATCGCCCAACTATCCGCTTCGCTCAACGTCACTTCTCACGTGAACAATGCCTCCAATATTACCAATTCATCAATATCGGTATAGTTTAGCCTATTAATTTTTTAGAGTTTCTGAATTCAAAGTTTTAACTTACAAAAAAACATTCATTTATAGCCGATCGCCGTGAACTCGTCGCGGCCTTTGCGGCTGGCGTGGAGCGCGAAGGACACGGTCCCCGTGCCGGTGCAATTTTCTGATAATCCGAACGGTTTGGTGCTGAAACTATCCCCTACAACGAGGTCTGTATGCAGCAAAGGATTGGTGCAAGGGGTACTTGATCTGTGGTCCGCTCTGTCTGGAGATGAGCTACGTGTCGGACAAGGCCAAATGTATAATGCAAGGTGAGGGCTTCTCACGCCTAAATAAGAATCTGTTTTTTAGATTGTGGCCCAGACGAGGTTCGCATCGGGCGTTGGATTGAGCCGGCGGCTTGCATCGCGTCCTCCAGACTTGTCTCGGGGCGCTTGCCGACTTCTTGGAAACACAAAGGTTCGAAATTTCGTGGTACTACACTGTTAGCGGGGGGGGCAAGAATAATAGGGAGCAAAAATATTTTTACCTATGAAAGGTATTCTTATCGTTTTCAGTGGTTTTCGATTGCGAACAAGTTTTTAACATGTGAAAATGAGATCGTTTTAAATTTTATTTTTAAGCATTTTGAAAATTCTAAAGTGTTTACCATTATTACATTTTATTCATTTTCAACGAAAAAGTAAAATTTTCGGAAAATATTAGAATGTTTAAAACTTTTATTTCTAAATGCAGCTTAAATGCTATAAAAAGGTTTATAATACGCCAGAGGGCCGTACGGTATTGTCTATTAGTACGGTACTACTAGCAAAAAATTTTATTTTCGATTATTTTATAATTTTATTTCTAGGTTGTAACGGGGATCGTCAGATCGCGTGCGCCGAATTGGGGAACGCCTCCATCTGCGTCGACTCGAAGCGCATCAAACATTTCGAGCGTGGCAAGTGTACGCTGGAAGGTTGGGGCTCACCTATTCTTAGAATTATGAAGATATTTTTAGACTGTGGAGACCATCCGGACGCGCATCCGTGCAAGCAGCACGGCAGAACGGTGTGCATGCCTTACAAAGAGTTGGAAGCCATCGACAGCGAGGACAAATGCGTGCTGAAACAGTCGAACATGTCGAATTCAGGTTGGCAGGGCTCGAAACATAGAAGAACACTGTTCTAGAAATCTCGGGCCGTTGCGGGGTGGACACGGTGTTGTGTCGACAGAAGGGACAGAAGGACACACGTGCGTCCACTTCTCCCGGCTCACCGACTACGGCGGCAAGGGCATCGACGATCCGCATCGTTGCTATTTTAGACGTTAGTTTTACCTAGATATCTTCTCGTAGCGCTTGATTGCTAGAAACTTATAAAAAATAATTTAACCAATTTAAAAATTCGAAAATTAGCCTTTTTTCAACATTTTTGAGGAAACGTAAATTTTTTCGATGATTTTCAGGTTTTTTTATGAACGATGTAAAATGCTATTAAAATGGTTTATTTTCTTATAGGTTCGTATAGAATATTACTGCGAATAATTACTTTCCTCCTGCTAACAACCCCCCATAACAGTCCAGTACCCCCTTTTTCAGAGTGCCCGGGCGACGACCAAATCTTTTGCAACTCGATATGCTACAAGATTTCCGAGGTGAAATCAGTCGACGTCAACGGGAAATGTGAACGTGGGGCGCCGAATAGAAAGCGAGAAGCTTTTTCTAGTGCACAACCCGCCGACGAACGACTATATCGTGGTGCTCATCTACGGGTTGGTCATCATCGTCGCCGTCTTGCTGGTCATTGCCGCCACTACCGGTCAGTTTTCGGGCAAGAAAAAGGGTGGAATTTTAGTGTTCTACCGCCTGCTATCGAAACCGGCTGACCAGGCGGCTACTGAGAACACCACCATTAGTGCTTGTTGGTTTTTACGTTTGGTTCGGCAGGAAAAATTTAGCTGCAGCCGACTCCGACAAGGCCCCATTTCTGCCGACGACGGTAGGAAGCCGTTGAATACTTTTGTTGCTTTATGAAAGGAACAAAAACGACGAAAAGAAAATACTCTCATTTAGCGTCCCGAAGCGAACAACCAGGCGCCAGAGGTTTAGCCAGGTTGACGCCCGCCAGAATGCAGCACATCCAAAATGACCCTGATTTTTCTCGACGCTGTGTTTCTTCCGAGTTTTTGCTGTTTGGAATAAAATTGATGAAAAGCATTTTTGGGCAGTCGTCGTTCTGGAAACCACCGGTTGTGAATTTTCCGTATTCGCGTCGGTGTCGTTCGGGATCTCTTTCCTTTCACATCTCTCTCTCTCTCGCACTCCCGCATTCTATCGCTATCGGTCTTCTATCTCGATCTCGTTTCCTCTCTGCTCGCTGCCTTCTCCTTCCCCCCATCTCCAACCAGTTCACCGATAAGCACAAAACGAATTTGTTCGACTGGTGAGCAGACAAGTAGTAAATCAAGAATGCGATGATGTAAGAAGGAAGAAACGAATTGGCTGTCGAATTTGTCGCGTCGTCTAGGCGGCCGGCTGGCTGACTTCGGCGCTCGCGCTCGTCTGGCTCGGCTCTTGGCTCAGCTCCTTCGGCGGTTCCGGGTTTTTGCCCTCGGTTTTCGTCACCTAGGCGGGAAAGTTAGTTTTGGTTTTAGCCAAGGTAAATCAGAAGAACAAAAAATAAATGTACAGGGGAAGAAGACGGCGTCGGCGCTGGCAGTTGCCGGGTCCTTGTCGATGGCGATGGCGGGGGTTGGACGGAGACGCGCGTTCGCTGGCGGCTTCACCGTCATTTGCTGGATGGTCACCTGGAAGAGTGCGTAGGTCTTATAATAAACTTGTAAATATTAAATAATAACTGATTATTTTGTTTTTCTTTAGCCTATCAAAGTTTTAAAACGCCTATTTAGCCATTCCCCACCTTCATATCGGCATCGAAGCAGACGACGGCGGCCGTGTTGTTGAACTGGTTGCAGTAGTTTGGCGCCGAGAAGACGGTGATCAACCTAGAATTACATTCGCATTTTAGCTGGGCTTTAATCGCCCACTTCCGGCCGGCCATAATCTCGTATCCGTCCTGGATGACTTGATGGGCGCGAACGATCATGTCGATGCCCAGCATCTTGCACGCCTCCACCACCACGCCCTTGCCGAACATCAACGAGATGCCTGGAACAGGGAGATGAAGCTGATCAACGACAATCAAATACCTCTGATCGAGTTGTACCACCCCTCGCCGGCGTTCGTCGGGTCGGCCCACAGCAGGTCGATGAGCAGCCCCGTGTCGAGCGGCTCGCACGGGCGGATGATGCCGCGGATCGTGTCCAAGCTGCCGAGGTAGGGGACAGCCCGCCGTGCATGCACAAGATCTTCTTCGCGATCAGCCCGGCCATCGGCATGCGGTTGAAGCAGCTTTGGAGTCCCACCACAGCCCGATGCTAAAAACGACCCGGCGTTATCGGCAAGTTGACGTGGAAAAATAGCTCAGCTATTAGTAAAGCGAGGTATTAAAAATTACCCCGGGTATCCGTATTTGAGCACACATTCGTTGTAGAACCCGTAGATCTTGTTGATGGCCGGCGTCTCGTGGTTGCCGCGCAGCAGCGTGATGTACTCCGGGTGGCGGATCTTGAGCGCGAAGAGGTAGATGATGGTCTGAAAGGTGAGGTAAAGGAAAAGGAAATTGGGAGCTGGCTTTTTTTAGGATCCAAACGGGCGGCCAAAAAAGAAGGGGGCAAGGGGGGTGGTTGCGAAGGTTAGGTTGCCGACGCTTTGTGGATTCATTTGGCCAAAAAGCAAAAAGTTTTTGGAGGTACGGGGGTTCGAACCCCGGACTTTCCGCATGCAAAGCGGACACTCTACCTCTGAGCTATACCCCCGATGAGAGAGGGCACGCCCCTGAGCCTTGTCAAGGGAGTGGTGTAGGCCCGGCGAGGTGGTGCCAAACGTTGGGTAACTTTTCATAAAGTTTTCCAGTGATTTTTGTGTTAAAATGTTTGACTATTGTCACTCACTACATTCTCCAGCCAAAATTGAGAAGAAAACAGTTTTCTTGGCTTGTACAGGCGTCGTTTAGTAGTTTAGTTTAGTTTGACGTTTGAAGATAGGGAAAAGCGTTTGAAATTGGTGAGGAAACTACAAAATTAGGTTTTAGAAACGATACTTTGACTAGAACGGCCCATCTATGAGATATAAACTAATTTTCCTAACTCATACCTCAATACTCTGCGGCCCACGATCAACGTAATCCCCAAGGAACACGAGCCGCTCCTTCGGCACCCGCCCAATGATGTCGAAAGCTTGTGCATGTCCTGGTACTGGCCGTGGATGTCGCCGATGACCTTACAGGGGACCTGCTGCTCGGCCAAGCAGTTCTCCGACATGAACACCTTCTTCGCGTCCTCGATCACCTACAGAAAGCTGAATTTCGCAGCGACCTCGAGGCCCACTTGAATGACTTGGTCGAGGGCAACAGCTCGGCCAGGTTGACATCTTTGGGCGCAACGCCGTAGAGCTTCTGCAGCCGATCGATCACCGTGTCGATCCAATCGATTTGTGATTTGCTCTGGAAATTAAATTTGCATAAAAATAGAAAAAACACCAACCTTAGGTTCAGCCATCCAGATGAAAGGAAAAGCAAACGACCCGCCGGGAAGAATTAAAGAAAAAGTGAAATGGGGTAAGCGGTCATTTTGCTTTTATACGGGTTTTTGGATGTTAATTTCGGAAGTTGGGATTCTATGGTGATTTAGTACGTAAAAATCTATTTCCGGTTTTGATCGGGTCTCGATGGAATTCCTAAAGAAGCCCTGCTGGTATTGGATTTTTAGCAGGGGAAACTAGTGTTTCGCAGTAATGTTGACGATTCTACGGATTAAGACTAAATTATGAGGAACAAACTAAATAATATATAAGGATATAGGGTGTTGTTGGCAGTTGATACTATCTCTGAGCTTACTTTTCAGGCTTTTTAGCTTACTTTTTGGTTGTTTTAGTTTTTCTATAATTTTTGCTTATCCGCAATCGTTATCATCAACCCCGTCCGAACGTACACCGCCCGCTTCCAAGCCATGCGGTCCGTTTTGTTTTTGTCAGGCATCTGGGCTGCGATTTCTTTAAAAATCACGATTTCCTGGTACACCGGGACCGGGGATATCCCTCGAAAAATCGCCCATTCATCATCGTGGAGTGCATGAGCGCACCGGATCCACGTCACAGCCTTTGCGCTGCACAGCGCGAGGCGGGTTCTTTGGGTTTTTGGGTTTATGATGGTTGGGGTAATTGTGCGATGGACAATTTATATCTGTACTATAAATTGTGGTCTTTCTATTGTCGATACCTCGATTTTACAGCCATGAAAAGCACATAAAGACCCTTTTTCGACGTTGATCTAAAGTTTCAAACCTTATCCGAAGTAAGATCAAAAAACCTCCGTGTTATTTAGGCTTTTACGCCTTTCATGATGTTATTTTTCGCATTTAAAGACGGTTCGCGAGGGCCCGGACAGGCTTAGGTACGTTTTTCGACCCCGATTTTTGACGCCATCTGAAGAGCATGGTCGAGATTAGTAGGGCCGCACTATTTTGAGAATTTTAAAAAGTCATTGTCAGGGTTTAAATGGCCGCTAAAGTTGCGTACCTCAAAATTTATCTCCCGAAAACCACAAGGCCGATCTTGCAGAGAGATTTTTGTCAATGCTTAATTGGGATGGGGATCATTTCTCTAACTACATTGGGAAGCACAATCTCAGGAACATGGTATGGCGTACCATAAACAGTTTTGAGGTTTTCTACTACAAGGCGGTCCGGCGCATCTTGAAACTAGCATAGAGAATTGACACCAGCAAGTTCTGCGTCGATGATGTGCTTTCAAAATGCGCCCAACTCGCCTCTAGCCGCTGTACCGTGGGTTTGTACGCCGAAAACCATCAAAATTGACGTTTTTGGGGGGATTCCCGGGCGCAGTGTCAACGGAGAGGTGCGGAAGGGGCGTAAGTGAGTCGTACTAGGCAGACAACAGCCCGGGAGTGAGAGTCGGGTGCTGCCAGAGAGCCCCCAACCTGACCACCCTGGCCGTCTCTGCCCTCCCCTCTCGCACTATCTCGCATAGCCCAGCCCAGAAAGTCCCCAAAAGCGTCGAATTTTGATGGTTTTGACGTCAGAGACACCTCGGTACAGCGGCTGGCTGAGGCGAGTTGGGCGCATCTTGGAAAGCATCATTCGACGCGGAATTTTTCCGGTGCATCTTTCTATGCTAGTTTCAAGATGCGCCGGACCTGCTTTCTAGTAGAAAACCCTCAAGAACTGTTTATGTTACGCCATATACCTATGTTCCTGAGATTTTCATTGCTCCCCAATGTCTTAGAGAAATGATCCCCATCCCAAATTAAGCATCGACAAAAATTTTCCAGCAAGATCGGCCTTGTGGTTTTCGAGATAAATTCCTTGAGGTACCATAACTTTGGCGGCCATTTAAACCCCGAGTGACTTTTAAAATGTCTCAAAAATATGCGGCCTGGCATTAATTCGACCATGCTCTTCAGGTTGACGTCAAACAACAAGGTCGAAAAACCGAAATTAAGCACATCATGGGGGCAGTTCGGGTCTCGCAAACGGCCTTTAAAATGTTTTAAAACCAAGTATCTATTCTTTTACCCTTTTTGCCATAGTTACGGTCAAAAACCTCAATTTAATGAAATAA